AGGAGTGATTTACTTCCAATTATGTGGTCAGTTTTAGAGTAGGTGTGATGTGGTGCTGAGAATTATGTATATTCTGTGGATTTGGGGTGGATAGTTCTGTAAATGCCTATTAGGTTTGCTTGGTCCAGGTCTGAGTTCAGGTCCCGGATATCCTTATTAATTTTCTGTCTCATTGATCTGTCTAATATTGACAGTGAAGTGTTAAAGTCTTCCACTATTATTATGTGCGAGTTAAGTTTCTTTGTAGGTTATTAAGAACTTGCTTTATATATCTGGGTGCTCCTGTATTGGGTGTGTATATATTTAGGATCGTTAGCTCTTCTTGTTGCATTGATCATTTTATCATTATGTAATGCCCTTCTTTGTCTCTTTTGATCTTTGTTGGTTTAAAGTCTATTTTATCAGAGACTAGGATTGCAACTCTTGCTTTTTTTTGCTCCCCATTTGCTTGGTAGATCTTCCTCCATCCCTTTAGTTTAAGCCTGTCTGTATCCTTGCATTTGAGATGGGTTTCCTGGATACAGCACACCAATGGGTTTTGACTTTTTATCCAAAATGCCAGTCTGTGTCTTTTGATTGGGGCATTTAGCCCATTGACATTTAAGGTTAATGTTGTTATGTCTCAATTTGCTCTGCCATTTTGAAGCTAGCTGGTTGTTTCGTGCATTAGTTGATGTAGTTTCTTCATTGTGTCAATGCTCTTTACCATTTGGTACATTTTTGGATTGGCTGATACTGGTTGTTCCTTTCTATGTTTAGTGCTTCTTTCAGGAGATCTTGTAAGGCAGGCCTGGTGGTGATGAAATCTCTGAGCACTTGCTTGTTCATAAGGGATTTTATTTCTCCTTTGTTTATGAAGCTTAGTTTCGTTGGATATGAAATTCTAGGTTGAAAGTCCTTTTCTTAAGGATGTTGAATATTGGCACCCACTCTCTTCTGGCTTGTAGGGTTTCTGCCGAGTCATCCACTGTGAGTCTGATGGGCTTCCCTTTGTGGGTAACCCAACCTTTCTCTCTGGCTGCCCTTAGCATTTTTCCCTTCATTTCAACCCTGGTGAATCTGATGATTATGTGCCTTGGGGTTGCTTTTCTTGAGGAATATCCTTGCAGTGTTCTCTCTATTTCCTGGACTTGAATGTTGGCCTGCGTTGCTAGGTTGGGGAAGCTCTCCTGGTTGATATCCTGAAGAGTGTTTTCCAGCTTGAATTCATTCTCTCTGTCACGTTCAGATACACCTATCAAACATAGATTAGGTCTTTTCACATAATCCCATATTTCTTGGAGACGTTGTTCATATCTTTTTATTCTTTTTTGTCTAATCTTGCCTTCTCGTTTTATTTCATTGAGTTGATCTTCAGTCTCTGATATCCTTTCTTCTGCTTGGTCAATTTGGCTGTTGAAACTTGTGTATACTTTGCAAAGTTCTCATGTTGTGTTTTTCAGCTCCATCAGTTCATTTGTATTCCTCTCTAAGCTGTTTATTCTCATTAGCATTTCGTCAAACCTTTTTTCAAGGTTCTTAGTTTCTTTGCATTGGGTTAGAACATGATCTGTTAGAGAAGTTTGTTATTACCCACCTTCTGAAGCCCATTTCTGACCATTCATCAGACTCATTCTCTATCCAGCTTTGTTCCCTTGCTGATGAGGAGTTGTAATCCCTTGGAGGAAGAGAGGCATTCTGGTTTGGGGTATTTTCATCCTTTTTTGCACTGGTTTCTTCCCATCTTTTTGGATTTATCTACGTGTGGTCTTTGTGGTTGATGGCTTTCAGATGGGGTCTCTGAGTGGACATCCTTTTTGTTGCTTATGAAGTTATTTTTTTCTGTTTCTTAGTCTTCCTTCTAACAGTTTGGCCCCTCTACTGTAGGACTGCTGGAGGTCCACTCCAGACCCTGCTTGCCTCGGGATCACCTGCAGTGGCCATAGAACAGTAAGGGTTGCTGCCAGTTCCATCTTCTGTTATCTTTGTCCCAGAAGGATACCTTCCAGATGTCAGCCTGAGCTCTCCTTTATAAGGTGTCTCTTTGGATATACGGGGATTGGGGAGCTGCTTGAGGAGACAGTCTGTCCCTTATAGGAGCTCAAGTGCTGAGCTGTGAGCTCCATTGTTCTGTTCAGAGATGCTGGGCAAGTAGGTTTAAGTCTGCTGCAGTGGAACTCATAACCTCCTTTTTTTCCCAGGTGCTCTGTCCCGGTAGGTGGGGCTTTATTTATAAGTTCCTGTCATTCTGCTGCCTTTTTTCAGAGATGCCCTCCCCAGCAAGGAGGTAGCCTAGTCACAGTCTGCCAGCAGAGGCATTGCTGATCTGCCGTGGGCTCTGCCCAGCTGCTGTGTGAACTTCCTTGTAGTTTTGTTTATAGGGGTGTAGTTAGAACTGCCTCGGTAATGGCAGTCTTCCTCAGTAATGGCGGACTGCCTCGGTAATGGTGGACTGCCTTAGTAATGGTGGACTGCCTCAGTAGTGGCAGACTGCCTCAGTAGTCGGGGACTGCCTGGGTAATGGTGGACGCCCTAACCCCGAAAGAGCTGGACCGTCCTGGGTCCAGCTGTGCTTGCTGAAACTGTCAATCCAGAGCATTTCAGATTGCTGGTCTTTGTCGGGACCAGACAAGCCAGATCACCTGGCTCTCTGTTTCAGCCCCCTTTTTTTCAGTTGAACGGGTGACTGTCTCCCAGGTATTCCAGTCGCCAGTTGAAATGGTGCCTGGATTTGTGTGACTTTTTGTGCAGAGACCCGCTGCACTGGCTGAAACAGCCATGCTGGAGACTTGTAGCGCTTTTCCACGCGGGAATCTCCTGGTCTGTGGGCAGTAAAAATTCTTTTGGAAATGCGGTGATCACTCACCCTCTGCATTTTTGCTGGGAACTGCAATCTAGAGCTGTTCCTATTCAGCCATCTTGGATCCTCCCCCACCCCCCAACAAACAATAACTTTTACATTTTTTCCTTTACATAGTTGATTTGATGCTATGGGCTTGTAGCTTGTTTTCTGGATGTTATAAAGCATTATTTGAGTAGTAAGCTGGTAAAGCGTTCACCTCAGCAGAAAGTTTGGTATTGGTAATTTATTATACAAAGGAAGAAAGTAGGGCATAAAGCAATTTGTCAAGCTTAAAGTGCATTTCCTAGTACCATGCACTCTGAGTAACAAACAAAAAAGAAGGAGCAGCAGCATTTATTAATCAACATCAACTTGAATGTGGTCATTGATTTTTTTTTTTCCTAATGTGTTCTCAGATTGGTGCTCTCCTCTGTCTCAGACTATTTTGCTGCCATGTTTACTAATGATGTCAGAGAAGCGAGACAAGAAGAAATAAAAATGGAAGGTGTAGAACCGAATTCATTGTGGTCCTTGATCCAGTATGCTTATACAGGTAACAAGTCTGAAAATGTGAATTAAAACCTCTTAGATTGATGTTGTATTGTTAGATTTTGGATTTCTGTCTTTGGAAAGCATGCCATCGCTAACAGTTAATTCTTCTATTGTCATCACTACCTATTGTATTTAACCTGGTAATAAATTAAAATCTCCACATTACAACCTTTAAAATGGTTATTATAATTAAGCTTTTGAATGTCCCTTTACAATGCTAACATAAAAATTAATGAATTATGTAGTGTCAAATTTTTGCATTTAAAATTTGAGAGTTGGCTAGGTATAGTGTCTTACCCTTGTGAATCGCAGCACTTCGGGAAGCCGAGGTGGGATGGATGATGCTGCAGTGAGCCATTGGTTACACCACAGCACTCCGGCCTGGGCAATAGAACAAGACCCTGTCTCAAAAAAAAAAAAAAAAAAAATTGAGAGTTATACAGGTATATTGTAGATGTAAGTTACTAACTAATGCAAAGTTTTAAAATTCTGAAAATAGGCCAGGTGTGGTGGCTCACGCCTGTAATCCCAACACTTTGGGATCACGAGGTCAGGAGTTCAAGACCAGTCTAGCCAATATGGTGAAACCCCAGCTGTACTGAAAATATAAAAATTAGCTGGGCGTGGTAGTGCATACCTGTAATCCCAGCTACTCGGGAGGCTGAGGCAGGAGAATCGCTTGAACCCAGGAAGTGGAAATTACAGCGAGCTGAGACTGTGCCACTGTACTCTAGCCTGGGCAACAGAGCAAGATTCCATCTCAAAAAAAAAAATTCTGAAAATAAGCCATTAGTTTTTATTTTAGTAGATATCTCAAACAGCTAATAATTTTTTCCACAGTTAGGCCTTTTCTTTTTGGAATGTCTTAAATCATGTAGGTCTGTAATATATGTATTAAGTTCTTATATGAAACCGCTACTGTTAACATCAGTTATTTTATAAAATAAGGTTAATGTAGTTCCATAGCTAATGGGATTTCTTTTTATCATTAAGGCCGCCTTGAATTAAAAGAAGATAATATTGAGTCCCTGTTATCTACAGCTTGCCTTCTTCAGCTTTCGCAGGTTGTAGAAGCATGCTGTAAGTTTTTAATGAAACAACTTCATCCATCCAACTGTCTTGGAATTCGTTCTTTTGCTGATGCTCAAGGTTGTACAGATTTGCATAAAGTGGCTCACAATTATACTATGGTATGTATTTTTTGAAAGTGAGAAGGCCTATCCTGCATATGCATATTTCTTATTGTTGCAGGCTTATCTACATGTTGCTGTTTTCCCATGGCTCTGCCACGTGTCTTGAGACTGAGCCTCATTGCCTAGTGTGTCATATTTTCATTGAGTTATAATGGAAAAGCACCAAGTAATACTTCTCCTGGGCATATGAAGCAAGCCCTAAGTTATTACAGTCACTGGGAAGCAGAACAGTGGCCTAGGACTGTTTCATTAAGATTTTCAGATTTGCTGCATTTTAAAACAGGACTCTTCCCAAACATTTTACTTTGCTCCACATGGATGAAATTCTTGAGGATTGTTCACATATTCATTGATAGAAATTGGTGACAGAGGTTGCAACATATTGGTAGAGGACAAATGAGAGGCTTTTTATTAAGGATAAATCTGACTATGTATAAACCATTTACAGCCATGTAGAATGATGTTTTTATTCATTATAGCAAATTTTATGCTCAATAAATCATAGAGGAGGTTCCAATTTAGTAACCTGAAGGATAATAAAATGAAATAATATGTACCACCAACCCCCATGACACAAGTGTATCTGTATAACAAACCTTCACATGTACCCCTGAATAAAAGTTAAAAAATGGATGGACCTAGGATAGGAAGAAAATAAGGGCATGTTGAGCGCATAGGGTTAGAACCAGCCTCTGTGGTCTTAACAGTAGAGGGGTACAGGCAAGGGAGCATATGTGGATTTTTAAGGAATGATCATGTTACCACGTTAGTTCTTCACACCTGGGCAATGACTGAAGACTGTTGCTTTAAATGCTTCAGTTTAGGGCAATACAGTTTCTAAGAGAAGGAAAAATGTAAACATTCACATACACGTATATAGTTATGGATATCACTAGTTTTGTCAACATTTAGAAAATGTATTTTGCCTACCCTCTCCTCCATCGTTCCATTGAGAGATTGAGAATGCTTTAGGAATCTTTCATTAGAGAAATAGATATTTGGAAAAATTCTAAGAATAGGTATTTACAAACTATTGGGAAGATCACTTCTGTCTACTTCATGAGTTTTGTGTGAGGATTAGATGTTCTGATTAACACTCAGAACATTGATTGGCATGTCATATATCCAGTCAATGAGTCTCATTCCATTGTTGTCATCATCATTATATAGATTTCCTCTATCCAACACAGTAAGAATTTATGGGAGGGAACAAAAGCACTCACAAAACCACAGCCTTTATGACTGGTTTTCCTCCCTATGGTGTAATCATTTCTCAGGAATGTTTCTTGTTTATGATAGTCACAGAGCCTCAACTGGTAAAATAAGAGATTGTACAGCAGGACAATAATATATAGCCCTAGCATGCTATTAGGTTGACATTTAAAAGATTAAGTCCATTGAAATTTTTTTTTCCCTTAGTCTTTATCATTCTTTATAGATTCTCATTTTAACCATACACCTGCAATTTCAACTACTTTTTTGAATGAGACGAATATAAATAAAGTTAGATTTTATTCTTTATAATCAGTTTATAATTTGAATAATTATCTTTTTTCTGGGAAGGAGTTTTATTCAGGTGAAACCATTTGTATGCATTTAGGTCACTCCTGTAGTTTACAGTAAAGGCATGATTGCTGCTTTAACGCTTACACAGAAATTAAATTTAAATTAGCTGGATGTTTTTAAAGCTATTTTCATAGTCAATTAGTTGTGGTAGATTTTTTTTCTCAAGGCTATTATTTAACATTATTCAGTTTCAACAGAGACATGAAATTGAATTCTAATAACAATAAGTAATTTAGAGGCAGATTACCTGATTTGAATTGTTGCTATGGGAACCAAATGAAAATGTATAGCAAAATTCAATCTTCAATTTAAATAAATCTCTTCATAATTTCATTTGCTTAAAAACTATTCTAAAAGGGGAAAGAGCACAATGCTAGCAAGTGTTTGGTAGCATGATAGTTTTGTGTATTATAATATGGATTTAAAATACAAAGCATAATGCCATGCCAGTGATTTCAATCAGTGAATGGTGCGTGGACTGGGGATGTTCACTGATCCTGTGTGAATGCAAGTCGTAAAGGATAAGGAGTCCTCCCCATGATCCATGAATGTAGAAACCTGTTTTCTCATTCTGCCTGCCACTGAACATGACCTGGAGCAAGTCATTTAGCCTCTAAAAGAGTCTTAAGACTGCTTGTATCATTACAACTATTTAATGTCATTTTGAATTTATGACACAAATATAAACATTTAATTTTAAAACTTAAAATTGTCTTTCTCAATCTAGAAGACTTATAAAAAACATTGAAATCTGCGAAAGTAGCTGCTTCAAAACCAAATTAATACTTTTGAAAAGTACTTTGTGTTTAACCTTGAGTTCAGTAGTATTTCATAAGTTGTTAAAAAACTCAATTTTCACTTAATATAAATTATACTAGAATGGAATGGACATTATTCTGAAATAGATATATCAACAAATAATTTGTTAAGTGAATATTTACATGATAGTCCTTCTGTTACTGATGAAATGCAATTAATGGCATTTGAAAGTACAGCATAGTTATACCAATGTATAAATCTGTCAATTATACTATATATGTTTAAGGAATTGGAAATATATATTATTATTTCAATTTCTTCAGAAACTCACTTAACATTTTATCATAAGTATCTTTCCATGTATGTAGCTACATGAACTTTGCCTTTGAAATTTTTAATGCCTATTTAATATATAGCTCCCTATACTGACCACGTAGGCTATTTCCCATTTTTTTCCATTATAAATAATAATACAGAGAATCACTGTTAGGTATTTAGCTTTTTTGCTTATGAATTATTTATTAAGGTTTAAACTACAAGTGGGATAACTGGGTTGAGAGTTTCAGCATTTTTGTAGCTCTTGCTATGTGTTACCAAAATTATGTCAGTATGCAATTTAGTAGAACCTTTTGCTTCAAGCCTGGAAGTTTTATTAAAATATGTTTCTGAAAATGATAATCTATCATTTAAAATAGACTCATTTGGACATCCTTGAACAAATCATGATAAATTGAAGCAATTGAACTTCGTTAATTTTTCATGAATGGTTTTCCCCTTTTGAACTTCTACTGATAGGAATGTCAAGCTAACATATATTTTAGATCAGTACCTCACTCAGGTTACCACAGGCTATATGGAAAATATAATTTTTATTTTAATATAGAAGATAGTTATTGATAGTCCTTATCTCTAGCTCTGATTTAAACAGCCTTAGCTTCCTTCTTTAGTAAACCTCTGCATGCTGAGACAGCAATAATACATCAGAAGTATGAAAAAAACATTAAGGGACAATATGTGTCTAGCATTTGCCCTTATATTATAACTCTGTAAACTATCCATTCATTAAGACGTTATAACCTTTCAAATCAGATGGTTTTCCTTCTCTCCAGATTAGTTAGCATAATAGCCTATCAGGGTCATCCCACACCTAACGGCATTTTTATTTCCCTTTTCAAATTACAGAGGATTTGATTCTAATGTGAGGCCAGGACTGAGTCATCTTCAGTCTGATGCCCTGATGCCAGGGCATTATAGGTCACTATTTTTATTTTCCCTTTGGTCCTTTTTCCTATGAGATCAAAAGAACTTTGTAAATAAATTATATTAGAAGAGATTAAACATTCAAAAACAGACCCTTAGAAGAGATTAAAAATTTGAAAACAGACTGAAAATCCTAGATGGTCTTATAAATAACATTAAAATGACCTTAAAGACGAATTTGGTTGTAGTATAGCCCTAAGGACAGATACTCCTTCCAGGGAGGATCTGAGAAGACTTCTGTGGTCTAGAATGGTTCTGGGAAATCTAGCCATCCTGGAGGCCATTTCTGAGTAAGATAAGTAACTAAGCTCTCTAGGTATTTGACTCCACCACTGGCCAAATTCTTCAGCACCCACAAATCCAGCCACTTGTAGTGTCAGAGTATCATACCTCTCAGTGTCTAATTCATTTTTTCTCTCTTCCTTCAAAAGAATTGCCAGAAGTATTTCCTAACTTGAGTGAAGCAATATACTTCAGTGTCCCAGGTCCATTTTTTAAATGTAATAAATGATACTTTATTACATTTAATTTTTAAGCACTTTAATTCTACTTATATATGTTTAACAACATAATTGCAGTTTAATTATTTTTCTCTGCTGTGTTTGTTTCCTAACAGATAGTAATACATTGTAACGTCTAAAATATAAATTGTGTTTTGGTATCTAACACAAAAAACTTTTACTTTATTCTAAGTAAATTGTGATGGTCAGAAGGAACACCACTATTGTTTCTCTGCTATTTCTTCCCTCTAGGAGCATTTCATGGAAGTAATCAGAAACCAGGAATTTGTATTATTACCAGCCAGTGAAATTGCAAAGCTCTTGGCTAGTGATGACATGAACATTCCTAATGAGGAGACAATATTGAATGCACTTCTTACTTGGGTCCGTCATGATTTGGAACAGAGACGGAAAGATCTAAGTAAACTTCTGGCTTATATTAGGCTACCTCTTCTTGCACCACAGGTAATTAATAGGTGCTTGTTTATGGGAATTTTTCTTGGCCTACTCTATCAAAGAAAGTAATTTTACATGTATTCCTATGAAATGTATAGGTGAATAGATAGTAAACTTATGTTTTAAATCCAGAAGATCTGGCTACCTAAATTACATCAATTAAGTAACAATTCTTTTTTTTTTTTTTAATTTTTGAGATGGAGTCTCATTCTGTCACCCAGGCTAGATTGCAGTTGTACAATCTTAGCTCACTGCAACCTCCACCTCCCAGGTTCAGGTGATTCTCTTGCCTCAGCCTGCCAAGTAGGACTACAGGCGCGAGCCATCATGCCCTGCTAATTTTTGTATTTTCAGTAGAGATGGGGTTTCACCACATTGGTCTGGCTGGTCTCAAACTTCTGACCTCAGGTGATTTGCCTGCCTTGGCCTGGGATTACAGGCATGAGCCACCGCGCCGGGCCTCAATTAAGTAACATTCCTGATTTTGGGTTAGTAATTTAGTTGACACAGATACAAACTTATTATACCAGTTGGAGGAGAATTACTAAACTGTTAATAAAAGGAACACTGGACTCTAGGAACCAGAAAATTTAGATTAATTCCTTTGCCACATGTTTATTAACTATCCACTAAATATTGAATTCTGGTAATATATAAGATTAATAAGGTATATTAATAGTCGAAGCTCTGACATTTTAAAACTTTGTGACTTGTCATATTCACACCACTCAGTTTCTTCATCTGTCAAGTAGAGATAACATCTTCCCTGACTATCTCACAGTGTTATTACAAGGATCAGAAACGTGCTCTATGACATAAAATGTGCTATGAATAAAAATATTATTATTTCAGAATTGAGAGATTAGAGATTAGTTGATGCATTCAAGACAACCAGTCATAACATTTACATGCATAGTTTTCCCCTTTTTACAATTTCCACTGGGCTATGTAAAAATGTTCCCTGCATACTTTGCTGCCTATCTCAAGGCCTTGAATGGTAAAAGAGGCCTTGAAAGCAGAAAAAGAATGAGCTGTTTCTGTTGAAGGTCAGACTTTCTTTTTCTTTTTTTAATTTAAAGTGCCATAAATGTTCTCTTATTTGCAGTTATCTTGAGCATAATGTATTATTTCCTGCTGCTATGAGCAAAAGTTACTGTTTGTTCTTTATGTAACAAAGGGAATAATCAATGTGGATCCTTTGTAAGACCTTCCTCCTCAGATATAAAATATTGTATGAATATATAGGACTGAAACTCTGTAAGTTGATGATAATTCAGGAAAAGTAACATAATAAAATGTTTCTCTTTAAATCAGATTTTTTAAAGGGAGTTACATTTTCACTGCTACTTAGCAGATTTTTTCCATTTTTTTTTTCTGTCACCAGGCTGGAGTGCAGTGGCGTAATCTTGGCTCACTGCAACCTCCACCTGCCGGGTTCAAGCAATTCTTCTACCTCAGCCTCCTGAGTAGCTGGGACTACAGGTGCGTGCCACCACGCCCAGCTATTTTTTTTTTTTTTTTGTATTGTTAGTAGAGACAGAGTTTCACCATGTTGGCCAGGATGGTCTTGATTACCTGACCTCATGATCTGCCCGCCTCAACCTCCCAAAGGGCTGGGATGACAGGTGTGAGCCACCGTGTCTGGCCTAAAAATTCTTTCAAGTTGAAATCAAACCAAATCTGAAAAATCATATTAGGTTTTGAAAAGAATCTGTACAATTAAGTAACATGATAATTGACTTTACTTCTGCAGTTTCAAATATTTATGATACTATAGTTGCACAACTCTCATAGACCTTTAAAATGTCTTTTATCCAGGATAGTGCTGCTAATCCTAGCCATAAGTTCTTAGGGTTGAAAGGCATTTTGGAGATCATTTGTTCCAACACTCATTGTACAAATGAAGTGACAGACCAAAAAAGTAAATCCATATGTTCAAAATCACAGTGTGATTGCATAAATTCCTCTCCTTCTGTATTGTAGTTTTATTTGGCTTTTGCTGTTTGGCTGACATCATAGGGCTAATGAGAGGGCGAGGTGGGACTTGAACCCAAGTACAGTTCTGTACCTTGCCCATTAAACCATTCTGCCTCTTGAGTGTACTGTGTGTAAAATTGCTCAGGGTAGCAGGGAGATGGTATCAGTTGGAGGATGAAATAGATTAAAAAATAAATCAGTGATTATAATGAGTTGAAGACTGTGATAGACACATGAATGTGGCATTCTGAAAATAATAGAAGTAGCCCACCCAAAAGAGGGGGGCTGACGAGAAAGCAGGGAGAACTCTTACACTGTTATTTGATGCACATTATGAATTAGCCACCCAAAAGAGGGGGGCATGATACCCAGCAGAAATAGGAGCTTGTACTTCATTATGAAGTCATGAGCAAACATAATGTGTTTGGGAATTTGAAGGTAGTTTGCGTGGCTAGAGTGCAGAAATAAAAGGGGGTAAATTCAAGAGATGGGGCTGAAGAGGGGAATGGACCAGAACATGGAGAACCTCAGTCATGCCAAGGAGTTTGAATTTTATCCTGAAAGCAGTGAGGAAGCACTAAAGGATTTTTTAATAGGAATGGCATAATTATAATTTTATTTCAGAAAGATTACCATAACTGCATTGTGGAGAATGGATCTGAGGGATCAAAGCCAAAAACCCATTAGGAAGGCTTTTGGAATTCAGACAAGTGAATTAGGCACACTCTGGCAGTAGATGTAGAGAGAAATTACCAGGTTCAAGAGCTATTTATGAGGTCAAACTGACAAAACTTAATGACTGAATGGTGAGGGTGAACAAAAAGAGGAATCAAGAATGATTCTGATTTGTAAAATTAGGTTAATTAAAAGTTGCCATCGGTTGAAACAAGGAATATAGAATGAAGAGGATGGGGAAGGAAGTTGAAGAATCATGTTCCCGAAGCTTCTTGGCACCTTTAATCCTTTTAGAGTCTAAGGACTTAGACTTTTTTGAAAACTCTTTCTTTAGATTGTTGAATCCAAAGGAAAGAGAATGACACTGGCCAAGGAGTACACAAGAGTGCTTGGGATGGAACCCTAGGAAACAAAATATTTAGTGGTTGTTCCCAAACCTGGCTAAATAATTGGATTGTTATTAAAAATTGATTTCACACTTCAAAAAGGTGGAAGTTTTATTGTCATCAGATGCTAAAGAGACGACAAGGAGGGAAAATCCAGTGGGTTAGCCCAGTGGTTCTCAAGGTGTGATCCCCAACAGGAAGATCAGTGCCTTTTGGGAACTTCTTGGAAATGTAGATTACTAGGCTTCACCCCACACCTACTGAATATGAAACTCTGGGTCTGGGGCCTAGCAAATGGTGTTTTAGTAAGTCTTCCAAGTGGCTTTGATGCATCCTCAAGTTTGAGAGCCATTTTCTACCATAAGTAGTGGTAATGGGAGCTACATTGCCCTATATAATTTAAACGAAGTTACTTTACCTCTCCGTGATAATACTGTGCTGCAGTATTGTGACATTTAGAGATATTGGCAGTGTTGATTTTTTTCATTGCCAAAAGTGAATGGCAAGATTGTAGAATTAGAGTTATCAAGTAATAAAGTTTTGAAGTAGATACTAAAATAATGAAGAAAATGTTGAATTATATTCTGTTTTACTTTAAAAGGTAGGAAAACATAACAATTATTAAATTGCCACATGCCAATCAAATAATAAATTACTAATATTTTTTAAATTGAGATTAGGTCTAGTTACCAAGAATTTATTTTTGTGAAATTGTTTCTTTTCCAATGATACCAACTAAATGAGATTTTATCCTACTCTGTTAATATGAGACATTCCATTTAGTCCAGCTAGAAGGGATTCAATTTACATATAATAATTTTATCATAGTGTCTCCAACAGTAGATTCTTAAAATAATGTAGGAAATAATGCATGTGATTGTAATCCTCTACCAAATGATCATTTTTGTATGGATTTTCTTTTCTTTTCTTCTTCTTCTTCTTTTTTTTTTTTNCATGCTGGAGTGCAATGGTGCAATCTCAGCTCACTGCAATCTCTGCCTCCTGGGTTCAAGCGATTCTCTTGCCTCAGCCTCCCAAGTAGCTGGGATTACAGGCATGTGCCACCATGACCAGCTAATTTTGTATTTTCAGTAGAGATGGAGTTTCACCATGTTTGCCAGCCTGGTATTGAACTCCTGACCCGTCTTGGCCTGCCGAAGTGCTGAGATTATAGGCATGAGCCACCAGGCCAAATCTTTGTATGACTTTTTAAAAAAATGGAATAATCTAGGAGACAAATATTTTTGGTCATTTTATTTTATTTTTATTTTGAGGCAGGGTCTCACTCTTATTATCCAGGCAGGAGTGCTGTGATACGATCATGACTCACTGCAGCTTCAACTTCCTGGCCCAAGAGATCCTCTCACCTCAGCCTCCTGAGTAGCTGGGACCACAGACACACACCACCACCCCAGCCACATTTTAAAATTTTTTATTTGTTTATTTATTTATTGAGATGGAGTCCTTGTCGCTCAGGCTGGAGTACAGTGGCACAATCTCTGCTCACTGCAACCTCCATCTCCTGGGTTCAAGCGATTCTTGCACCTCAGCCTTCCGAGTAGCTGGGATTACAGATGCATGCCACCATGCCTGGCTAATTTGTGTATTTTTAGTAGAGACAGGGTTTCACCATGTTGGCTAGGCTAGTCTCGAACTCCTGACCTCAAGAGATCCACCCCCTCGGTCTCCCAAAGTGCTAGGATTAACAGGCATGAACCACCATACCCAGCCAGTTTTTAAAAATTTTTTTGGAGATAGGGTCTCACTATGTTGCCCTGGCTGGTCTTGAACTCCTGGATTCAAGTGATCCTCCCACCTTGGCTTCTCAAAATACTAAGATTGATTTTATTTTACTTTTGAAAGCATTCCAGATATTTCAACTTGATAAAATTTTAAACCATGTGAATAGAAATACTAGGGCATATATACATTAAAAGATTTTGACACCTAAATTGTTTTTTGTTTTTTGAGACAGAGTCTTGCTCTTGTTGCCCAGGCTGGAGTACAGTGGCGTGATCCCAGCTCACCACAACCTCCACCTCCTGAGTTCAAGTGATTCTCCTGCCTCAGCCTCCTCAGTAGCTGGGGTTACAAGCGCCCACCACCACACCCAGCTAATTTTTTATATTTTTAGTAGAGACAGGGTTTCACTATGTTGTTCAGTCTAGTCTCAAACTCCTGACCTCAGGTGATCTACTCACCTTGGCTTCCCAAAGTGCTGGGATTACAGGCGTGAGCCACCGCGCCTGGCCCACACCTAAATTATTAACATTTTCAATGTTCAGCCTGAATTTACAAGTATCTGAGTCTTCACTATTCTGCTCTCAGTTCAGTATTGTTTTCTACAGAAAGTCAGAAATATAAAATGAGTCAATATTTACTTTAGCATTCTTTTAGTTTACAAGGTCTTGGTACTAAAACAACAACTTTTTTTTTGAGACAGGGTCTCACTCTGCCACGCAAGGTTGAGTGTAGTGGCATTATCATAGCTCACTGCAGCCTCAAACTCCTGGGCTCAAGTTATTCTCCCACCTCAGCCTCTCGAGAAGCTGAGATTACCGTTACTGTGCCCCACCACACATCTGCCTAGTTTTTTTAAATTTTTTATAGAGACAGGGTCATACTTTGTTGCCAAGCTGTTCTCAAACTCCTGGCTTCAAGTGGTGCTCCTGCCAAAGCCTACCAATATGCTGGGATTATAGGCATGAGCCACCTTGCCCAGCCTCCAAAACGTTTTTTTAACATCTGTACAGTTCATAAATTATTCACATTCTATTTGTATTTGAGGGGACAGTTTTAGAGCAGTAGTCATAAGGTGAGCAAATATGAGTGAGTATAAAAATTTACAAAATGAAAATTGATTCCTGTATTCTGAATGCTTTCATTTTAGTAATTTGCTCTTCTTTTATAGCAGAGAAGGCATTTAGCATTCACCAAAAATGTAGAATACATGAAAGTATTTTGTAGTTTTCTCTCAGTGTCTTCTGAATAGTTTTCTAAATGATATTTGGTTCCTCCCATTTGATTAATCTGATACTTCGATTAATGACTTTTTAACTTAAATATAATTAATCCTACTTACTTATAAGTTATAGATACTATCAGTATATTAGCAAATATACATTGCTTCAAATTACAGTGACTATTACGTCTCCCAAGAGTTTACTTTCTACATTTTTTCACATTTATTTTTATTTAGAGATGACTAAAATAATAGTTTATAATAGAAGTAACATAAACATTTAAATTAACCTTAATGAGCCAACTTTATGCATATATACTAATGGTTTCTGTGACAAGTGTAACTATGTTTTGTGTGCATAGAAATAATGTGGAGTAATTAATACCAAAATGTATATTCTGGTGTAGGTCATGGGACTTAGGTCTTAATTTGGCTTTTTTGCCTTTGGTATGCAGTGCTAGCTTCCAAATACCACCAACTGTTTTTACAGTGACTCTTTTTAGAGACTGTTTCTCTCTTCCTCTATAAAAACATGAATATATCATCAACATCATTAGTCACAAGGCAAATGCAAAATAAAACCATATTGCGCACCTTCCTGAATGGCTAAAATAGAGACAAATAAACAATTGGTGAGGATGTGCAAAAACAGGAACCTTCATACAGTGCTGGTGGAAATGTAAGATGATGCAACCACTTTAGAAAACAATTTGGTTGTTTCTTAAAAAGTTAAACATAAATTTTCCATATACCTCAGCAATTCTACTCCTAGGTTATAATTACCCAAGAGAAAGAAATATGTCCACACAAAGACTTGAACACAAGTGTTCTTGGCAGCTTTATTCATAATAACCTGAAACTGGAAGCAACCTAAGAAGCATCCATCAACTGGTGAATAGATAGATAAAATGAAGTATAGCCCAATAGTGGAATTATTACTCAACAATAAAAAGAAATGAAGCACTGATACCAGTAGCTACAGCAGGGGCAGGTCTCAAAAGTATGCTAAGGGAAAGAAGCAAGACACCAGAGCCTACATATTATATGATTCTCTGTATATAAAATGTCCAGAAAAGGCAAATCTATAGAGATAGATTAGTGCTTGGGACAAAAGATGGGAATGACAATGACGATGAACAGTAAATGGGCATGTGGGATCTAATTGAGATGATGAAAATGTTTCAAAATTGTTTTATGGTAATGGTTCCACAACTTGGTAATTTACTAAAAATCATTGAATTGTCTACCTGGAATGGATAAATTAGGATATGTAAAATATGCCCCAATAAATTATAAAGAAATATATTGTCAAATGCAACCCACAGTGTATCAAAAGGATACACTATGACCAGAAAGGTCTTTTTCCAGGAATATTAGAATGATTATTAAGAAATCTATGAAGGGGCTGGGCATGGTAACTCACGCCTGTAATCCCAGCACTATGGGAGGCCACGGGATCACTTGAGGTCAAGAGCTCAAGACTAGCCTGGCCAACATGGTGAAACCCCATCTCTACTAAAAATACAAAAATTAGCTGGGTGAGGTGGTGTATGCCTGTAATCCCAGCTACTCAGGAAGCTGAGGCAGGATAATTGCTTGAACATGGGAGACAGAGGTTGCAGTGAGCTGAGATTGTGCCACTACACTTCAGCCTGGGCAACAGTGAGACCCCTGTCTCAAAAATATAAAATCTATGAAAATCTATATTATCTTTATTGAATATAATAAAGATAGATTACTAAATGTCACAGCAACTATTTTCCTAAATAATGAAACACTAAAACTGGATCAATTCAAACAAGAAACAAAATATTCTATATCAGCCTAATTATTTAACTTTTTTTAGAAGGCTTTGCTTCTTTAGAAGCAATTGCAATAATGAAATAGTTGGCACATGCCTGTAATCCCAGCACTCAAAGTCAGGAGATCGAGACTATCCTGGCCAACGTGGTGAAATCCCATATCATCATCATTAGTCAATGATACAAAAAAATTAGCCGAGGTGGTGGCACATGTAGTCCCAGATACTCGGGAGGCTGAGGCCGGAGAATTGCTTGAAACTGGGAGTCAGAGGTTGCAGTGAGCTGAGATTGTGTCACTGCACTCCAGCCTGGTGACGGACCAAGACTCCATCTCAAAAATAAATAAATAAAATAGTTGGCATACACATTAGAAAAAGATATACAACTATCCCTATTTGTTGACAGTTATGATTATTTGCATAACATGTAGAGCTTAATAAGGAAATTTGGAAAAGTAATAGGTTAATACAAGTGTAATCAGTAGATTTTCTCTCCTTCAAAACATATATGACATAAACTTTTAAAATCCATTCCCAATAGCAGTGAAGATAATAAAATATATAGAAATATATGTAATAAAGAAAGGTATGATATATAGAAAGCTATACAACAAATGGAAAGGCTTCTTGAACAGAAAGGCTTAATATCATAAAAATGTCAGTTCTTCAAAAATTAATTAATAAATTTAATGTCGTTCTTATTAGAATTCCAAGAGAATCTGGATCAATTTGTCCTAAATTTATGTGAAAAATAAAGGCACAAAAATAGCCAAGAAAACTATGAAAGTTAACAGTGAGGGAAAACTTAACAATATCGAGTATCAGAATATACTATAAAGACACTGTAATAAAATATGCTATTTAGAAATAGGAATAGACAAATAGATCAATAGAACAGAATAAAGAATCAAAAAACAAATCTCATATAGCTTGAGATCAATTTGTGAGAATGTAATATATGACCAAGATTCAGTTCAGTTGAAAATGGGAGGGGGATATTTAATAAGTAGTACAAAACTAGCTATTGATCTTAAAGAAAATAAAAATGCTCCTCCACTCATACTCTATTTAAAAATTAATTTCAAAACAATGAAATGGATTTTCATTTCACATGGATCAATGGCCTAAATGAGAGAAAGCAATAAAATCTTGCTAGATGATCCAGGAGACTTCATCTGCAAACTGAAACAAAAAGACTTTCTAACCAGGACTATAAAAGAAAAACACATATTTGATCACCTAAAAATGAAAACTATTTGTTTAGCAACAGTATTATGAAACAACCTTAATAGACAAATGATTAAAAATCTAGAAAAATACAGTTGAAAAATAAAAGATTAGTGTATGTCATATAAGGAACTCTTGCAAATTTTTAATCAAAAGATAGTAGAAAAAAGGAGGCAGATAAAGGAAGGAAAAAAGTGCAAATATCCAAATTATTTTAAAATGCTTATATTCACTTAGGAAAATTCAAATTAAAGGAAAAATGTGATATCATTGACAAAAAGAGCTAAAACACTTATTCCCAGTAGGAATGTCATACACTTGTGCCCTTACACATGGCTGATGAAATGTGAGCCACTTTGGAAAATAATGACAACATTTATCATACAGACACACACAAATACACATATATGCACACACACATACATACATAATGTATACACTTTGACCCACCTGGAGTCAATTCAGTTCTTAGAAATCTGTCCTGTAAAGGTAAAAATTAATACATAAGGACATCCGTACTGGACTTGTTTTTAGTAGCAGAAAATAGTATATTTACATATTCGTGTGTGTGTGTATGTGTATACACATATATACATATATACACATATACACACACATACACGTGAATGTGTGTCTGTACATACTGAAACAAAATTAATGTCCATGATAAGGAAATGGCTAAAAAATTAGCATATTTATATAGTATAGAGTATTATTCAGTGATTAAAAAGAATAAATCAGAACTGTACCTTTTCAGAAGACCTGAAGAAATTTTCATGCGATAATGTTGAACAAAGATGGTAAGATGCAGCAAAGCATATAAGACAATTAGTAAAAGGGAAAACTAAAAATTATTACATATATTTATGTTATACATATAAATGTTGAGAATTATGTTAGCAGAGGATTGCGTGAATATGAAGAAAATATGAAAGGCTACACACCAGGTTGTTTATAAGGCAGGGAAGAATTACAGGATGGGGAGGGGCGATGGAGAACCAAGCACAAAAGGAAAAGACTTATTTTTAAGTCTTTTTTTTTAATTTAATTGCCAATGTGATCGTATTTTCATTTTGTTTTTAAAAAGAATTTTGTATTTTAAAAGACAAGTTGTAATCGTTTTTGTGCATTTACATAAAATTGAATTCAGTGACACACAAGGGATTTTAATGTTTTTAGAACAGTCACTGTTAGTTCTTTGCCCCTTGAGGAATTTGTAACTTTTGTTTTTGCACTTGTTAGTGGAATTGTTTAGAAAAGTCAAGTGAACACAGTATAATTAGGCAATTCCCACTTATAATTATTCTTCAATTAAAATTATTTCTGATTTTAAAAGTAAAATTATTTATTTTGGAAAATCTGGAAATTATAGAAAAATAGTAAAAAAAATTTTTTTTAAGTAGCACCAGTATTTCTACTACCCAGAGATAAGCACTACAGTACTAAGATTTTAGAGTATACCATTTATGCTACTCGTGTTTTGTTTTTCAATGAAATTTAAAATGTAAATCCTGTAAATGTTGCATATTTTTGTTGAAAATATGTGCCCATACTTGAATTTTAAAAAAATGTGTAAAATCCATTTGAGAACGATGTCTTTTTTTTTCTGTAAACCCTACCGATTTCTTAGTCATTCGGTATGCATACCCATTCCTCTTTCCTAGTTCCTGGCAGACATGGAAAATAATGCACTTTTCCGGGATGATATAGAATGTCAGAAACTCATTATGGAAGCAATGAAGTACCATTTATTACCAGAGAGAAGACCCATGTTACAAAGTCCTCGGACAAAACCTAGGAAGTCAACTGTTGGTACATTGTTTGCAGTTGGGGGAATGGATTCAACAAAAGGTATCAAATAATCTTTTATTTGGGGGAGGGAGGAACAGAGAAAAAGATATTTTATTAAGTATATATATGGCCAGAGAACTCATTGGAGAAATGGCTGGTTGCAGGACAGGGGCAGAAAAAGTACCAGATAATTCTGTAACATCCTCTAGACCAGAAAGTAAGGAAATGTTCAAAGAATGATGGAGACGGGTCAAAAGACACAGGAAAAAGCTTACAGGGGCTACTACTGTCCAACTCTGGGATAATTTGAGCATCAAAATAAATGATAGTAGAAGATTATGTCCTATGAAGTCATTAAGTATCCATGGTTCCACATCGATACAAAAAAACAAGGGAAAAAGGAAAGCTCTTCCTTACAGTAGAGTGCCAAGGAATGAATACAGAAGGAAAGATGAGATTACAAAAGTTACCATTTAGTAACCACCAATAACCAATTCAGCCAAGAATTATCAGTAGATGCTGAGACTAGTGGGAAAAGTTTGAGAACAGGATACTTAGTCTAAAAGTGTCTCTCAGCCACATGTTTACTAGTTACAAAGAGTAAAATAGTATATTTACAGTAGAAAAACCTGGCACACAGCACTTAACCAAATGATCAAAGATAATGTTGACAGAAATCAGACTAAGCAGCAGCATTGTGCTGGAGAGAATGCATGGAAAACTCAGCCACCCATCTATGCTGTTCAAGAGTGTATAACCTGAATCTAATCTTGAGGAAACAAATCTAAGTTGACAGACAGTCTACAAAATAACTTATCTGTCTATAGTATTCAAAAATGTCAATGTCATGAAGTACAAAAAAGAGCCAGAAATTGTTCCAGATTATAAGAGACTAAAGAGACATGACAGCTATTATAATGCATCCTCTTGGATTTTCCTTTGCCGTAAAGTACATAACTGAGACAAATGACAAAATCCAAGTAAGGTCTGTAGATTAGATAATAGTGTTGTATAAATGTTAATTTCAGGCTGGGTATGGTAGGTCACACCTGTAATCCCAGCATGTTGGGAGGCCAGGGCGGGCAGATCACTTAAGGCCAGGAGTTTGATAGAACCTGGGCAATATGGTGAAACCCCATCTCTACCAAAAATACAAAAAAATTAGCCTGGCATGGTGGCAGATGCCTGTAGTCGTAGCTACACTCAGGAGGCTGAGGTGGGAGGATAACTTGAGCCCAGAAAACAGGTTGCAGTGAGCCGAGATTGCACCACTGCACTCCAGCCTGGGTCTCAAAAAGAAAAAAAAAGTTAATTTCCAGATTTTGATTATTATATTTTGGTCTTATAAGAAGATAATTTGTCATTTTGAGGAAGATACACTGAGTATTAGGGGTATAAAGGCATCATTTCTGCAACTTACTGGGGTTTTTTTTGTTTTGTTTTGTTTTTTGAGATGGAGTCTTGTTCTGTTACCCACGCTGGACTGCAGTGATGTGATCTCAACTCACTGCAACCTCTGCCTCCTGTGTTCAAACAATTTTTCTGTAGCTGGGACTACAGGCACATGCCACCACACATGCTTGACTAATTTTTGTATTTTTAGTAGAGATAGGATTTCACCATGTTGGCCAGGCTGGTCTCGAACTCCTGACCTCAAGTGATCTGTCTGCCTCGACCTCCCAAAATGCTGGGATCACAGCTATAAGCCAGCACACTGGGCCACAACTTACTCTTAAAACAGTTCGGGGGGCGGGGGGGTGAACCTACATAGTAAATACAGTAAAAAGTAAATATTTGGGAAATCTGGGTCAAAGGTATCTAAGAATTCTTTGTACTATACTAACAACAGTTATTATTAAAAATAGGCTGTGATTACGCCTGTAATCCCAGCACTTTGGGAGGCCAAGGCAGGCCGACCACTTGAGGTTGGGAGGTCAAGACCAGCCTGGCTAACATGATGAAACCCTGTCTTTACTAAAAAATACCAAAAATAAATAAATAAATAAAAACTAGCCAGGCATGGTGGCAAGTGCCTATAATGCCAGCTACTCAGGAGGCTAAGTCAGGAGAATTGCATGAACCCAGAAGGCAGAGGTTGCAGTGAATTGAAATTGTACATACCACTGCACTCCAGCCTGTGCAACAAAGCAAGGCTCTGTCTCAGAAAAATAATAATAGTTAAAAATAATAGCAACAAACACTGCACAGTGCCTGCTGGGTGCCAGTATTATGCTAGAAGCTTTCTGTGTATTATCCCTTAATATGCATTGATCTCCCCTTTCTTTGAATTCCTAGTACTTGCAGTCTGCAATTTCCTATAATCTCTCTCTGACTTCTGGCTACCTCTCTGATGTCAGCTTATTCTACTAAAACTTCTTCCCTTACTGATGCTTTTATTCCAACCCCATCAGCCTTTTCATTAATCTAACAGGCCATTTTATCCATATCCAGGATATTGCTTTAGCTGATGCTCTCGCTGGCACGCTCTGGCCCCGGATATTGAAGGGCCTAGCAGAAATTATTCACTCAAATCTCTCAAATGTCAACTTACCAAGGAGGCCTTCTGTGACCATTCAGTAGCAGCCTCCTGCCTACCACTTTCTAACCCGAATAACATATAACATAATGCTATTTATTTGTAGATGCTTAAGTTTTAGACATAGGCCTGATGAGTGCATGGTACAGAAATAAATAAGATAACTGATTAGGGATATTTCAACATTCTGTTGTTCAGATAATCTGCAAATTCTTATTAAGTATCATCTATGTACCTGGAACTGGTGCTAGTCATTACTAGCACTCTTCTTCCCCCCCTGTCTTTTTCTCTCCTTTTTAAGGCTTTAACTGTTAACTCTGTATTTATCTATAATACCTTCACTTTGATTTTATTCTCATTTTCCCAACTTGTATAAAATATCTATTTGATGCTCAGCTTTTAACTCAAATTTGGTACAGGAAAGGCAATCTTTTCCGCTTTCTGAGAGATGGGTTCCTGCTTCCCCTCAAGGCTCATACATACAATGTAAAATTCCCCAAGCATGGGAAGGGGACTAGATGCTAGGCACCAAAAATAAGCAAGTCTCATTCTCTCTCTCAAACCTTAAATTCTGAGAGCTGTCAGGTCTTTTTTCAAATGGGTCTTATGTCTAATTCTTATAAATTTCTGCTGCCATCCTTCTAATTCCGGTTAGCCTTCTGTCAGCCTACATATTTTGGTCATGTTAATTTAGAGGGAATGGCATTCATTATGTTGTTAATATGTGGCAGGCATTACGCAAAGCACTTAGACTATATTATTTCATTTCATCTTCGTAACAGTTCTCTGTTATAGTTAGGGAAATCAGGACTTGGAGAACTGAAATAACTTTCCAAAGATCACACAATTGATGAGTGATAGGATCAAGATTCAAACAGGCATTTTGGCTTTGGAGATGATACTCTACTCCATTAACTCTTCAGTGAACATGCGATTAATTCTGCTCAAAAACTCCAGCAGTCTTTATTTCTTATCATATAAGATGCAAATGCCTCATTCTGGCTTTTAAGACTTTCTGTAATCCGGCCCTTCTGTTTGACCAACTTTATTTTCTGACCTATCCTGTTAAAGCTACCTGGCTGGTCCTAATTTATCTTATTTCCAATATCTTTATAAGGAAGAGCAGTTTGTCTTAGTCAGATGGTAGTCTGACCATTGGGCTTTTGGTCCCTTCATATATCTGTTTAGTATAGGGCCGAACAAATAAGCTAATAATGGCTCCAAACAGCCACTAAGAAAATGTTAGAGTATATTTGTGCTTGCTTGATAAGGTTAATTCTTCAGTATAAATTAGGGACGTCCCAAGCGTTTACATAGAATTTTACAATTATTAAGATTTTTTAAATTTTGGATATTCAGATTTAAATATATACCTGAGACTATGTTTTAATATTTTTATGTTTGAAATTAGCAAAATAACTTTTAGTTACCAATTCATACAACTATGATACTGCTTAGTAAACTAGATCTAAAAGAAATAACATAAAATTCAAAAGAAAAGTATTTCCTAAATGTGTTCTTGAAGAGAGACGATTAGCTTTTTATTTGTTGGAGGGAATTTTCTAATTTCATTTGATTTATTTGATGGAAGGAAGAATATTTTAAGATCAAATTTAGAGTAATTAATCAAATATACTATTACATCAAATAATGTAAGTATGTAAGTAAAAAACCTCACTATAGCTAAAACTATGAAGAAAAAGTATTCAAACATATTTTTGAACGGCTATAGTATGTATAAGGGACTCTGTGTGGTGCTGTGAAAAATACATAGGTGAAGGCCAGGCAAAGTGGCTCATGCTTGTAATCCCAGCACTTTGGGAGGCCAAGGCAGGAGGATCACTTGGGGCCAGGAGTTCAAGACCAGCCTGGCCAATATAGCAAAACTCTTTTTCTTTTTTAGTTGTGATTGGTGGTGCATACCTGTAATCCCAGCTACTTGGGAGGCTGAGAAACAAGAATTGCTTGAGCTTGGGAGGTGGAGGTTGTGGTAAGCCAAGATCATACCACTGCACTCCATCCTAGGTGAAAGAGCAACACTCTGTCTCAAAAAAATATAAATATATATAATAAATATATATTATATAACTACATATTTATAAATAATTTATAAATATATTAAATAAATATATAAACACAAATATAAAATATTTACATTTATATTTATGTATATTTATATTTCTATCTATATAAATGTTTATATTTCTGTATGTTTGTTTTATATATTTATAGCTATATAAATGTTTAAATAGATATATAAGCATACATACACACACACACACACACACACACACACACACACGTATATCCCAAATAATTGTTATCCCAAATAATTTAGCATTCTGTAGGGTAAATAAAAAATGATAAAAACTGTAACATGAGAAACTCTATATGTATAACAAAACTATTTCTAAACTTTAGGAAATGATCAATAATACTAGTGCTCTGATGACCAAATTATAACAAATACTTTAGAATAAGTGTTAGTCATGATTATAATTCTGTAAAGTTAGCACTGCTTGCATGTTGTATTAGAAGCTTAGAAGGGAGAAATGGGTTGTAGTTGAACTTCACAATTGGAGGCTGGGTTTTTTTAGAGGGCCTTTTCTTAAAATAAAAAAAAAATCCACTCATCTTACTCATAAGAGAACAAAGGAGTCCTAGAATCTTCCAATTCTTTAAAAAAAAAAAAAAAGAAAGAAAAAAATAGATGCCTTCAGGCAGCAACTTCCTGAACTCCCTACCCTCATAGTTCCCAAAGTACCTCATCTGTACTTATCCCTGTCCTTGCTTATTGCAATAGAGTATGTTCCTCTCCTCCTGTGAAAGCTAGCCCCTCTGCCTATGCCCCAGGTGCTGTGCTTTCCTGCCTCCCCAGGAACCTCATGGTTCATTATGTTCATTGTGATCCCTTTCATCTCCTGTATTTTTACCTGCTTTCCTCTCAGCTACATCCTTTTCATTCACATTTAATCAAACTATGAGTTTTCCAATTTTAAAAACAAAACAAAACCTTCTTCAACTCTTCTAGTAATTTATCTCTCTCTCCTTTGATAGCCAGACTTCTCAGAATAATCTTCTACACTCACGGTCTGTGTTTCCTTACCTCCCAGTCAAATCTCAGCCACTGAATAAGGAACATCCCCCTGAAGTCATCAGTGACCTCCATGTAGCTAAATCCAATAATACTTCTTAGTCTTCATCTTGTTGGATCCTCTCAGTAGGATACTGTTAGCAGACCTACTGCTATGAACTTTTTTCCTTTGGCTTCCATGACACTTAACTCCTCTGCTTTTTTTTCCCACTTGTGGGTGTTGGTTCTCACCCTCCTTTGACAGGTAATCCTTGTCTATTTGACCTTTTCTTACTGGGGCCTGGTGCATGCCCTGGAGAATAGTAGGAGATGAGGTCATAGATGTAGGCAGAGACTAGATCATGCAGGACCTTCATGAAATATAATCAAATTATTTTCAATGCTAATAAAATTTTTATATATGTAATTTCATAAAATTATAAATCATAGTATAATTTTTATTTATATAACTTCTATATATTACTGTGAAGGAGCAACAAGCATTGAAAAGTATGATCTCCGTACAAATATGTGGACTCCAGTATCAAATATGAATGGGAGGAGGCTACAGTTCGGTGTTGCGGTGCTAGATGACAAACTGTATGTGGTTGGAGGAAGAGACGGACTGAAGACTTTGAATACTGTAGAGTGCTACAACCCCAAAACAAAAACTTGGAGTGTGATGCCACCGATGTCCACACATAGACATGGCCTTGGTAAGTATAACTATGCAGGTTCACTCAAAATATCACATAGTGGACACCCACAGCACGTTTACATTCTGTACCAGGCAAAAGACCAGTGTGGCAGCCGCTGAGTCGGCAGCAGGCTCCAAGCATGCCTCACATACTCCATTATCTTCAAAGCACAAGCAGTTATATACATGTGGCAGCAACTGGTGCAGGTGAAAACATAGATATCTAAGGATTTTAATGTAGCATGATGGTCTGAAAGGCCACCTTTTTACATATGTAGTCTGTGTTCACAATTAGTGTTATCTAACCTAATCGAAATTGTTATTTAAAAATCTTTAGCATTATTGTTTTTCATATATATTGCCTAGTTTTTAAGCAGAAATGAGTTTAAAAACCCAGAAAAACTTTTAGGTGGCACAGAGAGTGTAATGATAGAGACTTTTTATTCTTTTATTCAATAATTCACTGGGAAGACAATTGATTAGCACGTTCATGTGCCATGCTCTTTGTTCTGGGGTATACAAAAATGAAGAAGATGCTATCTTCACCTTCAACGAACTGACAGCTCATTCTACGATGCATAAAAGAGAATTTAGGGATGTCTGTCTTCTCAGTGAAATAGTTTGATGAGAGTGAAGGAAGTAGGAATAAAGTTAGGGCTTCAAATATGTATGTATCACCCAGCTTTTGCTGCATAACAAACCATTTTTAAATTTCGAGGCTTAAAATAACAGTTTTTTTTTTAGCTCATCGATCTGTGGGTTAGCTGGGAGGTTCTTCTGGTCTGAGCTGCCTTGGATGATCTCTGCTGAGTTTTCATGAATCTCTGCTGGACTGGCAAGCTGACTGGATGATCTAGGATGTCTAGTAGTAGGCAGGTTGTCAGAATCAATAACAGAGGCAACCAGGCCACATGCCCTAATCATTTAGCAGGCTGGCCCAGGCTTCCTTCACATGGTGGTAGTCACAGGATTTCAAAGCAGCAAGAGAACGAAGCCCTAATGCCCAAATGCTTTTCAAGCTTTTGCTTGCATTGTGTTTGCTAAAGTCCCATTGCCCAAACAAGCCACATGGGTAAGCATCAATTCAAAGAATGGAGAAATAGACTTCACTTCATGGGCAAAACAACAGAATCACATTGCAAAAAGGCATGAACTCAGGGAAGGAAGAATTTGTGGCCATGTTGTCAACATACTACAGTTTGGAAAAGGATTCAGATGGTTGCAATAAAGAATTTGATAGGTTGTCATAAAAGATGAGGCCCATGCAGTGGCTCACGCCTATAATCCCAGCAATTTGGGAGGCCAGTGCAGGAGGATTGCTTGAGCCTAGGAGTTGAGGATCATCCTGGGCAACATGGAAAGAAACAGGCTCTACAAAAAATTTAAAAATTGACTGGGAATTTTTATTTTTTTAATTAAAAACTTACGTGGCTTTGGCCTGTAGTCCCAGATATTCAGAAGGCTGAGGAGGGAGAATCATTTGAACCTGGAAGGTCAAGGCTGCAGTGAGCTGTGATCGTGCCACTGCACTCTAGCCGGGATAATAGATCTAACACACACACACACACACAAAAGATGGATCAATGGCAGTGAAGTTATCATTGAGTTTAGATAGTATAGTTTGTACAATACTCAATTTATAAATACTGATCACCAGAGTGGAAGCTTCCCCCAAATAACAATAGACAAAAACTCCCTAGGGATGAAGATTGAAATGGGTATGGTGCCTCAACTCTTGCTTATAAAATTCAGTATCATGTAGTCTCTCTTTATATCTGTGACTTCACTTTCAAGCTTATCAACTCTGATTGCCTTCTTTCGAAGTGCATCTAATTCATCTCGGTACATTCTGGCAGAGCAAGCATCCGGAAGCAAATTCATGTTCTAAATAAAAATTAAAAATTATATTTTAAATACTAAAAAAAAAATGAGTATGGTGGTGGGTACAGTAAAAGATCAAAGAGGCATGGGTTTCCACTAGTTGTAATTAGTTCTCAGTGAAAGATCATCTTAAGTTTGAAGTTTGATAAGGAAATAAATCCAAAAGGTTAAGGCAAAGACACTGAGAGAAGGAGCTTAAAATTAACTATATGAAATTTAACAAAGTAAACTGTAAAACATTACTCTTGAGTCCATAAAATCAACTATTATATAGGCACAGACTGGGAAAATATAAGTTAAGCATGAATGAGACTTAGAAATTTGGGTTGACCATAAAATCCAGGGTAAATAGAGTAATTCAACTTCATGCTTCCCCCTCCTCTACCATGGGGAAGAAAATGTAATTCTAACACAGGGTAAATTCTTATGAATATAGTGCATAGAATGCGGTTGCTCATGTTCCAGCTGTTTTGTGCAAGTGGCATTGTGCATTGAATACTGTCATTAGTTCCAGGTGCCATACAAAAGACTTTATTGAACTGTAGCAAGTTGAAAGGAAAATGATCACATAGCTCAAAACTGTCTTCTTTAAGCCCTAATTTAAAATTTTTGTGTCATTCAAAACAGCAATGTTCTTATTAAATTACCTTACAATTAAATAACTGTTAAAAATTTGAGCTTATAAAATAAACCTTTTTTTTTTTTTTTTTTTTTGACACAGTCTTGTTCTGTCACCAGGCTGGAGTGCAGTGGCACAATCTCAGCTTACTGCAACCTCTGCCTTCCGAGTAGCTGGCACTACAGGCACATGCCATTTATGCCCAGCTGATTTTTATATTTTTAGTAGAGATGGGGTTTCACCATGTTGGCCAGGATGGTCTCAATCTCTTGACCTCGTGATCCACCTGCCTCGGCCTCCCAAAGTGCTGGGATTATAGGTGTGAGCTACTATGCCCAGTCTAAAACAAACTTTTATTTAAGAAACATTCCTTTTATCGTTTTTCATGTGGTAATTATGTGAAAATTTCATTCAGAAAAGGATTTCTGCTAAATTTTTTTTTTGTTGGTAGGTACAGGTTTTTGCTTTGTCACCTAGGCTGGAGTGCAGTAGCACGTTCTTGGTTCACTGCAACCTCTACCTTCTGGGCTTAAGCAATCCTCCCACCGCAGCCTCTCTAGTAGTTGGGACTACAGGCATAGGCCATCACAGCTGGCTAATTTTTGTATTTTTAGTGGAGACAGGGTTTCACCATGCTGCCCAGGCTGGTCTCGAACTCCTGGGCTCAAGCAATCCGCCTGCTTCAGCCTCTCAAAGTGCTAAACTTACAGGTGTGAACCACCACACCGAGCTTAAAATTTCTTTTCAAAGCCATTTTTTAATGTGTTGAATTAGGTAAACCCCTTAAGTTTTCTGCCAGCTCTTTGACATATTACATATTACATATATATGTATACATGTAAAGTTAGAGATACATATATTTAATAAACATGTATGCAGTATATGTATATATTATGTATGTATATTTTAATATGTGCATTTATTTTGGTTTACAGATATGTATATACACATAGAATGTATATATGCACATACATACATATAAATAACATGTATACATATTATATACACATATGTGTGTTTATATGCGTATACACACACACACACATAAATCTCCAAAAGCTAGTACTGGTAGGTCACAATATGTAACAAATGAGTGAAATAATATGTTGATTTGGGTCATGCATGAATGATAAGTATTTTTCTTATCTGGCTGTGATTTCACAAATTAAAATATATCTGCAATATACGAGTTCTTTTGGCCCCCAAGTGACACATATTTTATCTCACCTGGCCATGATGATGTCGCACCTCTCCTTAAATCCCTCTACCTCAAAGCCATCATGGAAACCATTCTCCATCTCAATCAGAATGAGATCCAAAGTCCTTATAAGAGTCGATAAGACCAGAATCCTTTTCTGCAGTCTCTGACTGCCCTTCATAATCTGGCTCCACACTCTCCCTTACCTCTTACATTTTCCCCCTTACTCACCCTGCCTAGCCAGGCTGGCCACCTTGCTGTCCCTCAGACACAGTGAGCATACCTCAGAACCTTTGCACATGCCGTGCCATTTCCTGTACCTCATCTTCCCTTCCCCTGGTTATCTCCAGGTCTGGTTTCCCAACTTCATTCACATTCCTGTTTAAATGTTACCTGATAGGCCAGGCATGGCGGCTCAGCCTGTAATCCCAGCACTTTGGGAGACCAAGGCAGGCGGCTTACCAGCTCAGGAGATTGAGACCATCCAGGCCAACATGGTGAAACCCCATCTCTACTAAAAATACAAAAATTAGCTGGGCGTGGTGGCACACACCTATATTCCCAGCTACTCGGAAGGCTGAGGCAGGAGAATCACTTGAACCTGGGAGGCAGAGGTTGCAGTAAGCCGAGGTTGCGCCACTGCACTCCAGCCTCGGTGACAGAGTGAGACTCCATCTCAAAAGAAAAAAGAAAAGTTACCTTATCAGAAAGGTCTCCCCTGACTCTCTATCCTTTTACTCTGCACCACTTTTTAAATTAGCACTTATTACCTGAAATATATTTTATGTCTGTTTCCTGACTATAAGATTTATGAGGGCACAGCCCTTATCTCTTATATTCTATTGAGTGTCTGGTACTTTATTTGTTGAATAAATTGACAAATGAATCTAGCTCAGCTCCCTGCTGATGAGTTATATCAATAGATTATGGTATCAAATCTACAGTAAAATCTCATGAATTTGACTTAATGGGGGGAAGGTATAAAAATACTTTTCCAAATATATATTAAATCCAAATTATTGAAAAATGGTTTAATTAGCAGCAATGTATGCATCTGGTGCAGTTTTAAAATAATTTTTCACTGTTGTACCTAAAAATATTGCCTCTAAAACTTAATTTTTTTAAGAGACAGGGTCTTACTCTGTCATCCAGGCTGGAGGAATGATTATAGCTCAGTGCAACCTGAACTCTGAATTCAGGGGATCCTCTGACCTTAGCTAGGACTACAGTTGATGCCACTGTTTTTTAAAAAATAATTATTTAAAGAAAATTTTGTAGAGATGCCAATCTTGCTGTGTTGCCCAGCTGATCTCACAAGAGATCCTTCCACCTTGGCCTCTCAGAGCTCTGGTATTATAGGCTTGACCCACCATGCCCAGCCTCTCAAACTTTTTTTTTTTTTTTTTGAGACACTGCCTCGCTCTGTTGCCCAGTTTGGAGTGCAGTGGCACGATATTGGCTCACTGCAACCTCCACCTCCAGGGCTCAAGCAATCCTCCTGCTTCAGCCTCCCGAGTAGCTGGGATTACAGGCACCTGCCACCATGCCCGGCTAGTTTTTGTATTTTTAGTAGAGACAGGGTTTCACCATGTTGGCCAGGCTGGTCTCTGACTCCTGACCTCAAGTGATCCTTGCTCCTCAGACTCCCAAAGCACTGAGATTACAGATGTAAGCCACTGCACCCGGCTAGTCCCTAGAACTTTTTAATACCAGAACCACAGTGCTATTTCAACCCTACCCACCTACTAAGAACAGTGAGGAGGACACATGTCTACATCATACATGTTTACTCAGTTCAATTTGTATGTTTAAGGCTTATTGTACTTATACTTCAATTAAAATATGATTTTTAAGACAGCAGCCAATATAAAGTCATCGTGTCTCCTTATAGGTGTGGCTGTACTGGAAGGTCCCATGTATGCCGTAGGAGGACATGATGGCTGGAGCTATCTGAACACAGTGGAAAGATGGGACCCTCAGGCTCGCCAGTGGAATTTTGTTGCCACTATGTCTACCCCTAGGAGTACAGTAGGTGTGGCAGTACTAAGTGGAAAGTAAGGAAGTATTTAAAGTTCCATTTGAAATGCAACGTATTACATTTATTCAGCTATATCATTTCTAATTTAAAGACATACATGAATACTTTTAGTGATTTGAAGAAACTTTTAAGACAATGAATGCCTCTTTATAATAGTTGTAAATATAAATAGTTTAATGTTAAGTTGGGCTTTCATTTTAATGTGTAGATATACATTTCTAGTTAAGTGAATACATTTTATATTGTATATTAATGTTCAATATTAATAAGTTGTATAGTAAAAATCTGGTATAGCTTTAAAATATTTAATATACTTTAAAAGTATATATTATGTTTTAAAGTATATATGGTATTTTAAAAGTAGTATAGTCTCTTTCTCTAAAAATTCATTCCATCTTTTCTACTGATTTATCTTTACTTTTACTTCTCTTCTTATCTTGGAAAACTAGTGAAAACTAGAATGGATTATAAAGAGGTGCTCTCTTGCCTCTTGTCTGCTCTGAATAAACAAATATAGGTAGAGATGTCACTAATAGCTCTTAGTTACTCAGAGAATAAATAGATATCTTTTTTCAGTCCTTTCTTCTTCCTTAAAATGAAGCCATCTGTGGTTGTTAAAGAAAAGTTATTTGTTGGGTACCTTTTGCTCATTTAGAATGCTTTATCATTGTTTCCAGAAAAAGAAATGAATCAAGGTTAAAATAGAATTAAAATTATTTATAGGATTGTGTTATTGATTACAAGAAAAATTTTTAAAAAGTGAAAAATTTTTTCCTATTTTAGGACCTAAGATCATGTTTCTTCAGGACCTATCAGTTATGTTCTACTTTTTGATAGTTTTTTTTTAGCACTATTACATGTGATAAGATAGATGGAAATCACTTTTTAGATGTATTTGATCTCTCTGCCCCTCCTCTCATTTATTTTAGCTAAAGAAATCACTTCAAAATTCATCACTACGTATCTTTCTAAACTCTTTGATAAGAGTCAGCCCCATTAAAGAATCTAGTAAATGAGAAAAAAAGAAAACGAAACAGTATCTTCTCGGTTTTGACCCTTTGGCTTAAACCTTTGGGATTGACTGTGTTAATTTTTGTTTAGCAGCATATTTCTTAGTCCTTATTTCTAATGGAAAAAAAAAAAAAAAAAAAAACCTGCCTTCTCTAAACCTGATTTCCAGACCTACAGTAGCTTAGACTTCTAAGCATAGAAATATCTTACTTACCTTTTCTTACCCTGTAATGAGAAATATTTCAGTCCTTAGCCCACCTGAAGTATAAATGAATATAATTCAGAGACAACCTAATTAATCATATCAGAAACTAAGGATATCTAATCTACTATTAAGAAATTTGATTTTGAAGCAGGGTGCCATGGCTCACACCTGTAATCCCAACACTTTGGGAGGCCTAGGCAGGTGGATCACCTAAGGTCAAGAGTTTGAGACCAGCCCAACCAACATAGAGAAACCCCATAATATAAAATTAACTGGGCATGGTGGTGCATGCCTGTAATCCCAGCTACTCAGGAGGCTGAGGCAGGAGAATCGCTTGAACCCAGGAGGCAGAGGTTGCATTAAGCTAAGATAGTGCCATTGCACTCCAGCCTGGGCAACAAGAGCCCAGGCTGGAGCCCAGGCTCCATCTCAAAAAAAAAAAAAGAAATTTGATTTTGAAAGTATAATACATCTAAAGAATCTGGAATAAGTAAAAAGCATGCAGTTGGATGAAAGAAAACCAATGATACATCTTTTGTTATCATTGCTTTGTGATTTAGAACAAATCATTTCTCTTAGCCTCAATTTTTTTGTTCTGTAAAATTAAGAGCCGTGATCTTTGTGGGTTTTGTTATTTTAATTTATTAATTTATTTATTCATTTATTTATTTTGAGACAAGAGTCTGACCCTGTCACCCAGGCTAGAGTGCAGTGGCACAATCTCGGCTCACTGCAGCCTCCTCCACCTCCTGGGTTGGAGCAACTCTCCTGCTTCAGCCTTTCAAGTAGCTGAGACTACAGGTATGCACCACCATGCCGAACTAATTTCTGGAAGAGATGGGGTTTCACCACGTTGGCCAGGCCATTATCGAACTCCTGACTTCAGGTGATCCGCCCGCCTCAGATCTCCCAAAGTGCTGGGATTACAGGCGTGAGTCACTGTGCCCAGCTTATTTTAACTTATTTAAAATTTCTTTCTCTTTTCTTTTTTTTAAAGATGGAGTCTCACTTTATCTCCAAGGCTAGAGGGTAGTGGGCAGTCTCGGCTCACTGCAGCCTCCACCTCCTGGGTTCAAGCAGTTCTCCTGCGTCAGCTTCCCAAGTAGCTGGGATTATAGGAGCCCACCATTACTCCCAGCTGATTTTTGTATTCTTAGTGGAGGTGGAGTTTCGCCATGTCAGCCAGGCTGGTCTCGAACTCCTGACCTCAAGTGATCAGCCTACCTTGGCCTCCCAAATCTTAAAATTTTTAAAGTGTTAAAACTCTTCTTCCTACCATTTTTGACAGAAAGAAGCCTTATTTAGATTTCCAATTGCCCAGGCTACCTTTAAGCCATTGGCTGGCAAATATTTTTAGCAGTTGAATCTCTCTTTCAAATGAAATCTTAAAAATACCGCAATATTTAAAAGGCAAATGGAAGGCAAATAAGTTTATTTCAAACTTATTTAAAATGTATTACAAGTTCAAGATTATCATATTTACTTATTATAAAAATCTGTGAAGAAGAGTAAATGCTGAAGAACAGAATACATTTTAAAGAACACTCAGCTTATTTCTGTGTGTTGTCTTGATTGTCCAATATGAAGAAAATCTTGATTCACAGAGAAGAGACTGAAATGGCAACAGTTATTTTAACTGCTAGAGTGATTTAAATGGAATTTCAGGAAATTCTTCAGTTAAATTGCCCAAATAGTTTGAAAGTAGTAGTAATTTTTTTTTCTAAGTTGAAGCTCAAGCAATATCTGCCAACTACTTGGATTCCTTTTACTTTAGAGACAAGGTCTAGCTCTGTTGCCTAGGCTGGAGTACAGTGACACAATCACAGCTCACTGCAGCCTCAGCCTCCCTCTCAGGCTCAAGCTATCCTCACACCTCAGCCACCAGGGTAGCTGGGACTACAGGCATGCACCACCATGCCTGGGTAATTTAAAAAAAAATTTTTTTTAGAGATAGGATCTCACTATGCTGCCCAGGTTGGTCTGAAACACCTGGTCCCAAGTAATTCTCCCATCTTGGCCTCCCAATGTGCTGGGATTACAGGTGCGAACAACCATGCCCAGCCTACTTGCATTTTTTATCATAATTTTAAAAGTCAGGCAAGACCTAAATCTTATTATTAAATATATATAGGTAGTACAATACTTTCACAGGTTGACATAATATTTCTCTTTTTATTGTAATAGACTCTATCGTGGGGAAGAGACATGAGTTCTGAGTCTTACATGGCATTTAATTGAGCCAGGTGATATTTGAAAATTAAAAATAATTTTTAAAATTTGAAATTCAAATGAACCATTTTTTAGACTCTCTCAATTTCTTCACAGAATCCTATTCTTAGAACACAGCTTAAACATCATTGCTTGAGATAATGATTCTTTAGGAAGTGTTACCAATTGATTTTAACCCTTAATATTAGCTGAATATAAACATTGTTTGTACACTTACAATCTCCTATAAGTGCTATTTTCTAGAATAACACAGAGACAGAATTAATTTTCCTCTGTAAATGTTTATACCATGATTATCATGTACTAAGCAGTGTTCAAAGTACTTTAAATTTAATTATCAGTAATCCTATGAAGTAGGGTTTATAGATGATTAAATTCAGATGGAGGTTAAATAACTTGTCCATAGTCACAACTAGTAAGTGGTAGAAACAGAATTCAAACCCAGAGAGTCTGGTTCCAGACTTCATGCTCTTAATCATTGTATTATACCATTCTTCACAGTAAAGACCCAAGAATCCACTGTTCAACAGGGTAAGATGCTTTAAAGCCTATTGGGTGTGGGTGTCTGTGGATGTGCACACATGCACACACACATATGCATGTACAAATTATTTTAAATTATTGATATTCCCTAATTGTTGAAGCCTTCTCATGTTTTGTGATCCATATTTAGAGAACTCTTCTACCAAGTATTAGCTGAAGATAAGAATAATACTAAAACTAGAACATAAACAAGTTACTAATAGATAAAAGTTTTTAACAGATAAGTCTTAAGATAAATTTTAATAGATACATTTCAAATAAATTTGCATTCTCATACTATTAATATAGTTTAAGTTTAGAACGAGATATTGCTACAACCATAAGTTGCTGTTTAAGTTATGGTCATCTATTATTTAAGAAACAGTTTAAGTAACATAGTGGCATACCTTAATTATGAAATCTGTGTTTAAGTATGTAGATTTACCCAAATATAAATACCTGGAGTAGGCAGAAATTTGGGATAGTTAAAATATTTTTTCTTGAGAAATGATCGACATAGTTAAGTATTAACTAAGGCATCTTTAAATTCAAAATGTATGATCTTTTCGATGAGCAACAAAGTAAATTTACTCTTTAAAAAAACTAGTAGAAAAATATTTATAGAGAGCTTCCCAAATAAATAGTAAATACAAAAGGATTTTCGCTTAACAAGGAATACTGTGTTCAAATATTTAAAATATTTTACAAATGTTTTAGGTTCAGAGTAATAGACTATTTCAAATTAGTGCAATGTATTGATAGATAAATTTAAATTGATCTACGTAACATTTAGGTCATTCACATGATAATCTATACCTTTTCGGCAGTAATTTAAATTAATGAAGGATCATTATTCACATGCAACAAATGTTACTTTTTATGCCATTGTGTCAAGCTATACTTTTTATTCTCTTATTTCAATATTACAAGTATATTCTACCTCACTGTGTTGACTGTCCAACTGTTCATTACTAAAACTCTTGTGTCCTGATTCTGCTTCTTACTGGGTGACTCTGTGCAAGTCTCTTACTCTCCATGAACACTTATTTCTTTACCTATGAAACAGGGATTCAAACAGTTTCTCATAGTATCACTGTGATGATTAAATTAGTACATATAAAGTCTCTAGCCTATGGTAGGTGCTCAGAGAAGATTCATTTCTTTCATTGATAATAAAGTCTTAACCATTATTAAAGTCTTAACTATTGATAATAAAGTCTTAAGAAAAGTGGGCTGGGCACAGTGGCTCATGCCTATAATCCCAGCACTTTGGGAGGCCGAGGCAGGTGGATCACGAGGTCAGGAGATCAAGACCATCCTGGCCAACATGGTGAAACCCCATCTCTACAAAAAATGAAAAAAAATTAGCGGTGTGTGGTGGTGCATGCCGGTAGAGAGGCAGGAGAATTGCTTAAACCTAGGAGAGGAGATTGCAGTAAGCCGAGATTGCGCCACTACGCTACAGCCTGGGTGACAGTGCAAGACTCCGTCTCAAAAAAAAAAAAAAGTAAGCAATGGTTTATTTATACACCATATTTTGTCTATTCTAAGACACACATTTTAACATCTCTAGAATTTCAGTGCATATTACAATCAATGGTGACTTGTCAAAGAGATGGCAGTGGTGAAATAGTTGTCATTGCCTTCACGTGCAGTTTGTTTTCCTTTTCATATATATACAGTGATATATGATACTTACACATGTCAGTAAACACATAGCATATCTTCTTTAATAGCACACACATTAACAGTGTGTTTTATAACTGATGGCAACTTAAATTCAATGAAATAACGTAAGAATAGCCTCTTTGTTCTGAGCATAATAGCACAATCTTATTTATCATTTCATTTATTCTTTTTACAGACTTTATGCAGTTGGTGGTCGTGATGGAAGTTCTTGTCTGAAATCAGTAGAATGTTTTGATCCTCATACTAATAAGTGGACACTGTGTGCACAGATGTCAAAAAGGAGAGGTGGCGTAGGAGTGACGACCTGGAACGGACTGCTGTATGCTATAGGGGGGCATGACGCTCCGGCATCCAACTTGACTTCCAGACTCTCAGACTGTGTGGAGAGGTAATTTCCTGTGAAGGAAAACTAGGAACAAAAAATACATATATAAGTCTCTGGTACTTATCTATATTTGGAGAACATACTGGAGAATTGTAAGGGAAAGTCAGCATTCACAAATGCAAAGCAACTTCACTTTATAACAACCTACTCTCACAAGAACTAATACTTCCAGAAAAATAAGTTTTTATTGAGCATGCACTACAGGCAAGGCAGTTTTATTTTATACGGGATACAGGACCTAATAGGAGGAGCATGATGAAGTTTAGGCAGAATGACTTAAGGGCTGAAGGCTAAGTAAAGAGAGAAAAGGATAGGGACATTTCTTAGGCTGTAGGCTAAGTAAAAAGGGAAAAGGATATTGCCTTTTGATATAATAAAATAAAAAGCTAGTAATAAGGCTTACAAACCTAAGTCCTCCAAAATAGTCTCACAAAACTCAAGTATGGCACCAAGTAGACAGCCAAATAGCAGTGGAAGATTTGGATGTTAGGTCAGGTTCCCATTTATTATGTTTAGTCTAGTGCAAGGAATAGAGAGAGTTGAATGGATTTAGGAGGTACAATCAATAGGAGTTTGAACTCTTAAAAGCAGAAAGAAATATTGTTCTTACAGGAAACTGAAAGACAGCCATTGTGGCTGGAGAGCAAAGAGTGATGGGGAGAGAGTGGCAGGAAAGGAGGTGGAATTGGGGGGGCAGACTATGTAGACCCCTTAAGGCATTGTTAAGGGCTTCGGATCATAAAGAAAAATAGGAAGTTAATGAGTGCCCATGTGTGATAGAGTGAGAGCGAGAGAGAGAGAGAGAGAGAGAGTGTGTGTGTGTGTGTGTGTGTGTTGGATGTGATCAAGTGACCATAAGAAGATAAAAAATAAAATCAAAAGTTTGTTGATTATAATAAGCACCATCTTAGTCTGTTTCGCATTGCTGTAACAGAATACCCAGGACTGAGTAATTCATAAAGAAAAGATGTTTCTTTAGCCCACAGTTCTCCAAGCTGGGAAGTTCAAGATTGGGTGGCTGCCTCTGGCAGCTTTTGGTGGGTGCCCTGTGCTGTGTGATAACATGTTGGAGAACTGGAAGAGAAAGTTAGCATTCAAACATGCAAAGCAACTTCACTTACACGTCCTGCTCTCATAGGAACTAATCCATTCACGCAAGAACTAACCAAGGAGAAAAACATTAATCCATCTTATCAACCTAATCACCTCTTAAAGGCCCCACCTCCCAACACTATTACATTGGCAATTAAATTTCAGCATGAGTTTTGGTGGGATGAACCACATCCAAACCATAACAAGTGCTTTCTGTATAATAATATGCAGACTTGGTTGGTGGTGTTTAAGAAAGCAGGAAAGTTACAACTTCATTTCACTTATATTGAGGGGAAAACAATTCAGACCTATGGTTGTTTCCTGTTGTCCAGGAAAGGAATGTGGAAGTGTTTCTATACTTTGCCCCATTAATTATGGACTGGCTGTCTTACTATACTCAGTGGAAAGCTGTTCATTGATACAACAGATATTGGGAGCAATATCAGTCATCTTAGCATGATGTATCTGCTCTTAGCTGTACAACTTTGGGCAATTCTAGTTAAGACATCACATGAAAGGAAAAGAAAGCCCAAAAATGGACAGTTACAATGATTGAGGCTGTAAGTCATCTTACAGAGAGCTTAATGCATTGATTTCCCCACATTTTCAGTAGGTAATCGAAGGTCTGAAAGCAGCTTTCAGTATTGATACTAGCTCCTTTTAAGTGTTATACATTTGTTAAGTGGATCTATTACTATAATACTGTAAGTTAAAGTTTTCAGAAAAATGTTGATATTCTTCTCTAAAATATGTTCAAATGTATTTGATTTACATAGTAGATAATAAGTCAGAAGATAAACCTGAAGAACAAAACTGTTTTTACATAAAATATTTTAAGACTAATGTCAACTCTGGTTCTAAAATTTTCTTTCAGATATGATCCCAAAACAGACATGTGGACTGCAGTAGCATCAATGAGCATCAGCAGAGATGCAGTGGGGGTCTGTTTACTTGGTGATAAGTTATATGCTGTGGGGGGATATGATGGACAGGCATACCTTAATACCGTGGAGGCTTATGATCCCCAGACAAATGAGTGGACCCAGGTACGCCATTTCATGGTTCATTATCACACTGACTCTCTTTTTATTGAAACATTTTTTTTTAGTAAAACAGATCCCGTCAATCTTGTCTAATTCTAAAATATATGGCATAAATAGGGCAATCACTTCTTGATTAAAGATGAGAAAAAAAGGCAATGTTTAATATTATAACATGATTAAAATCCACAATTACTTTTGAGAGGTAAGTTAATACTCAGAGAAATTATTAATGATTTGCTACCCACTTGCATGATGAAGTGTTCTAGCCTGATTAAAGCTGATAGGACTGCAGGAGGGCTGTAACAATGGGAGGAGAGATTGGAAAATAAAAACAGGGATAGTAGTCAGAAAACTCCGAACAACTTGTCCATGCATGAGCAGTGATTTTTAAATACTCAAGCCATTGATATTTGGGAGCAGATTAAAGTCCTGATAACCTAATAAAGATGGCAACCCTAAATTACAGTAAGTAAGAAACCTGATCTGACAACCTTGATCTGACAGAAGGAATTTTACCCTTGTGTATTTCTGGGAGGGTCTAGCACATCTAAGAATGATCTTTTGATATCTTTGCTTTTATCATCACCAAGAACAGAATCAGGAATTTGTGCTTGTAACACCCAATTCAGTACTTGGTACATAAAAGACAATAAATGTTTAAGGCAAGGTTTTCTTGTATACAAGGACCAATGGTAAGTATTGTCAAGAAAGCAGAACTTCTGAGAAGCCCCACTGTCATGTAACCTAAGGTCTTGTGTATATAAGCTCTACATGCGCAAGGGGAGAACCTACCACACAAGGCAGTGGGTATTTAGTGTCCGATGGTACAGGCAGTAAGTAACATAGGAAATAAGAGAGAGAAAGTAGTTATGGGGAAAGCTTTAGTGAGAAAGAAGTGGGATTTAAACTAAGCCTTAGTGAATTGATCCAATTCAAAAAGATTGGAAAGAAGAAATTGTGAGAAAATGTGAAAGAAATGTCACCAAAGCAGAATTCTGTAAGACATACTGAAGTATGGCTGGTTTTAAGGATCTAGGCTTGAGAGGAGTGCTTATTGGAGTGCTTACTGTGAGGCTAAGGTAGGAGGATCACCTGAGGCCAGGAATCCAGACCAGCATGGGTGACAAAGTGAGATGCTGTCTCTACAAAAAAAATTTGAAAAATTAGCAAGGTGTGGTGGCATGCACCTATATTCCCATCTACTCAGGAGGCTGAGGCGGGAAGATAGCTTGAGCCCAGGAGTTGAGGCTGAAGTAAGCCACGGTCATAACACTGTACTCCAGCCTGGATGACAGAGAAAGACCCTGTCTCTAATTATATAATAAGAATTTTTTTAAAGAATGAGGATGTGTGAAGGCCAAGCTAAAGAGTTTGATAACAAGAAGCCAGTAGAAACTTTCAACCAAGAGAATGATGCAGTTGGGGTCATGTAGGTTGGGATGGGGCAGGGGAAGTGAGAGATGGATAAAAGGAAGAATATTTAGAGGATTGCTTCAGTTGCAAGGCTTGAAGCATTCAGTGTAGGTGGATTCAAGAGTTATTGCCAAGTCCTGTTGATCTTTCTTTATATACACACTCACTGGGTTGAATTGGGAGGTGTGGTCCCTGAAGAACACAGGAAAGGAATGAAAAGAGAAGTTCTCAGAAGACAATGGAGTAGAGCATCTAAAGGGAGGAGTAGGAGTTCCAACAGTGTAACAAAGAATGAAGATTTATCATTGTAAAGTTGTGGGGCCCTCAGAGAATTTGATAGAAGCAGAAGCTAGCACATAGTTTAAAAAGTAAATAGAAGAGGCCATGCACAGTGGCTCATGCCTGTAATCCCAGCACTTTGGAAGGCCGAGGTGGGAGGATCTCTTGAGGCCAGGAGTTAGGAGATCAGCCTGACTGACATGGTAAAACCCTGTCTCTACTAAAAATACAAAAATTAGTGCTCCTGTATCCCAGCTACTTGGGAGGCTGAGGCACGAGAATCGCTTGAACCCAGAAGGCAGAGGTTACAGTGAGCCAAGATCACGCCACTGCACTCCAGCCTGGTGACAGAGCGAGACTCCAACAAAAAAAAAAAAAAAAAAAGTAAGCAGAAGAATAGAGTGTAGGAGCTGGAGAGGCATGCAGTTTTTAAATGATGATGATATAAAGTAGTATTTATTGAGCTTATCTTACAGACCAGGCTCTGTTGTAAGCACTTTACATTAAAGAATTTAAACTTCAATAACCATATAAAGTTGAGTTCTGGTATTTTCCCACTGTACAGGATAATGAATCTGTCACAGAGGTTAAATGGCTGACCCAAGACCACATAGCAAATAAATGGTGGAATTAGAATTGAAGCCAAGTATTTTTTTTCCCACAATAGAGATGTCAAGAGGATAGAGAGAGATTTCAGATACAAGAAAGAAAGTGAAACTGAAGAGCATCTTTCTTAGAAAAGGGCAGGAAACAGAATTAAGAGCAAAGACCAGGGGCCAGGCACAGTGGCTCATGCCTGTAATCCCAGCACTTTGGGAGGCTAAGGCAGGCAGATCACCCTCAGGTCAGGAGTTCGAGACAAGTTTGGCTAACATGGTGAAACGACATCTCTACTAAAAATACAAGAATTAGCTGGGTGTTGTGGTGTGCATCTGTAAGCCCAGCTACTCGGGAGCCTGAAGCAAGAGAATTGCTTGAACTTGGGAGGCGGAGATTGCAGTAAGCCAAGATCATGCCATTGCACTCCAGCCTGGGCAACAGGAGCAAAATTCCGTCTCAAAAAAAAAAAAAAAAAAAAAAAAAAAAAAAAAAAAAAAAAAAAAAAAAGCAGACTGCTCATCCTCAGACTAAAAGGAAGAGATCTTACCCTCCAAGGCTTGGGAAAAGATGAGAATTTCAGTGCAGAAAGGTACAGGGGATTTTTAAGTGAAGAGAAGGATAGAAAAAAAGGACTTAGATTGTGTGGGCTTGATCTTCTTTTTTAAGTGAGATCACTTGGTGGAAGGGAGGAAGGGATAAGATTGAGAGCTAGAGTGAAAGCTACAAGATTTCGTTAGAAATTCAATGATTACCTAGTATCAGCTTCCCAGTAAGGCAAAAATAGTTGTGAATGACATCCAAAGAGCCCAAAAAGAAAAGAATCTCTTTTTCTGACATGTATTTAAGCCCTAAGTCCAGTTATATATATGATTTAAGCCCTATCAGCCAGTTATCTGAGACTTGTTATCATTTATAATTAATACTTTATGCTAAATCACCCTGTATCAAAATTGATAATCTGTGTCCACATAGCTACTTTGCTTGCAAGCCACCTGTATTACTATGTTAAAGCGCCTTAAAAATGTGAACTCATTATCATAGTATATGAAAAATAAGTTTTCCTGAGCCAGGCATAGTGGCTCATGCCTATAATCCCAGCACTTCGGGAGGCCAAAGCAGGTGAATTGCCCAGGCTCAGGAGTTCGAGACCAGCCTGGGCAGTATGGTGAAACCCTGTCTCTACTAAAATACGAAAGTTAGCCAGGTATGGTGGTGTGGGCCAGTAGTCCCAGCTACTCAGGAGGCTGAGGCAAGAGAATTGCTTGAACCCAGGAGGCGGAGGTTGTAGTGAGCTGAGATGGGGCCACTGCACTCCAGCCTGGGTGACAGAGGAAGACTCTGTCTCAAAAAAAAAAAGCCAAACAAAAAAATTTTGAAGTTTTCCTTTCAGTGTTCTGACAGATGGACATTTGTATAGGCACTAAAACGAGATGACAAAGTTCTAAACCACTACCCACCTCATTACCAGCCTTACCTCAAAGCAAGAGGTGATTGCACTGTATTTAACAAATTCTCTAAGCTACACTTTCTAGCTGGTTGTCATGACAGTGTCAACTGTTCACAATGTAGACACTAAATGTCTTGGATGATTTGAGAAAAGCTACTAATTACAAACTGACATTTTGATTTGAATGATTTTTGAGGTCAGTTCTATAATGCTATAAATAGATATGGTTTTAAAATAGGTTATTTGATTGTTCCAAGAGACTTAACAGTGATCAAAACAACTGACTCAGATGGACAACTACTGGGAATTCTCTTACAACTGAAGTCTGACCTGTTTTTAAAATTTACTTATTGGTCTAGGGGGTCGAACTGATTAGGAAGTCATTTTGGCATTTAACAAAAATATTTTAGTACATACCTTAACATTTATAAGTACAAAGCAAACTTTCTTAGTACTTTGCATTATTCACCCCCCCCCATCCATGGTAACATTTTAACTCTCTTGGGTCAAATGAATAGAATTACTGTGCTCAGAGTAATTCTTCAAAAACTATTTTTGTCCACACTCTTATTTCCACTATGAATTACCCAGTGTCTAGAGTTCCTGTTGTTTAAAAAAGAGGTGAAAGATTTAAGAATTGTTCTTTATACATAAATTAAGATTATATCCCTTCCCCTAGCAACCCTCCCCCCAACTGTATCTCACTGTAGCAGAGCTCATTCCCTGAGTTTGTTTCCACTCCTCAGGGAATTAGATGGGTAGCATTTATTATTTATTTAGTCTAGTAAAAAGTAGTAGAATGGGTTTAGACATTTTAGCCATGCACATAAAAGGTAGTCAAAAAATGTGAGGTTACTAGTTCTTCTAGAATAAGCAGATCCCCAGGCAGTCAGAGTATTTGTGTACTATCTGAGATAGCATGACTGTTAGAGGACCTCTCTAGATAACACTTGATCTTTTCGCCATATTAGTCACAGAGTTACTGTAAGTGTTCAGCATTTCTTTATATCCATACTGTGCATCATTTTGGCTAAAATAGAGTGTCTCATGTAGATTAATTCTTGAGCTGTTTTTAAAAATCACCCTTAAAGACATGAATGCTACACAATCATGATATACCAAGAACAACTTATTTAGTCTATGAAACTTTGCCATGGAGAGTGGTTCTTGGGAAGGGGACCAGGCCAGAAAGAGCTCTCATACAGCAGGGGCTGGGGCAGCAAGCCTTTGTCAACAAGTACAGACCATTTCAATATTTCACAACTGGCTTAGTAGTGCTGACATTTTAACCAACAAACCCAATACATATCTCTGTTTCTTTTTTAGGTTGCTCCACTGTGCCTAGGAAGAGCTGGAGCTTGTGTTGTGACTGTAAAATTATAATTTAGTGCTCTGTTTTCTACATGAAGACACCGTCTTCCTTTATTCATTTAGTACAATTATTATATCAATGGATGCATTTTTAGTAAATGTGCATTGTCACAATCCTGGGCACAAAGTGCCTGATCTCAAAGTGAAGATAATAAAACGAAAGAGGAAGGAGTGGGTGGACCAGGATTAATTCCTTTCATTTCTTAGTAAATTAAAACCTGCAGCTGGTGGATTGTGAACACACATTCCTGATGTAATATGTGAGGACAAGTGCACTGCTCTGGAACGTAACCCAGTGCTAACTGGGGATTTCATTTATTCAGTCAAGCACATCTTACTCACATCCAGATTTATTTTCTTACAGTGAACACACACCAGATGAAACTACTAAAATGTTACTTTTTGTAAGTTTATCATACATGAGTTGCAGTAGTTTGCTTGTTTAACCACAACCACTATTTTAATGATACACTAAAGATAACAATATTTAGTTTTTTCAGAAAAATCTGCATTATATGCATGTTGGTTGTGGATTTTTTTTCTAAAACTGGCTTAGTCCAGTAAATAAATGCATTAAAGACTTAAAGCAACAATAACCAAATAAAAACTTGATAGGATCTTTGAAGTCTATTTAACTATTCATTCCATTCCATCTAGACTCACCAAGAACTACGTTATGATATTAAGTTGAAGTTGAAACATGATGTTTTGCATTAAATTTAAGATATGCAAATTTATGTAGAGAAAATGTTATATACCCTATAATATTCTTTCACCTAATTAGTATTTAATTATATGAATTTGTTTTATATTATAAAAGATCTCTTGATTTTGTCTTTTGATATTGACAAAATTATTTGGATTTTCTTATGTTTTCAAGTCTGTATCTGCCTCCCTGCCTTATTTCTTATGTTTTGCCACAGTTAACCCATTGTGCTTCTTTGTAACCAAACTGTTTGGAGGGGGAATGGGCTTATTGAATGTCTAAAAAATAAGTTTAAAGTGTTTGTTACCCCAAGTTTTGTACATTTTTAAACTCTAATTACATATGTGAATGTTATTACTCTCAGTGAATTGTTATTGTTTGCAAAAATGCACTGGGCAGTAACATTTTGTGATAAATCCTGTGAGATATGTCACTGAGATGTCTAAGATGCTTTTTATTTTAACCCCAATTAATGACCTTATGGAAAATAATATTTGCTTATAATTATTCATTGTTCATTATGAACTAGGAATCAAGGTTTTTGTATGCATCAATGCACTTAATCCTCACAACAACCTTATGAGGTCGTTCTATTATTCCCTTTTTATAGCTAAGGAAATTGGGATACAGAGAAGTTAGCCCCAAGGTTATATACTGCAAGTAAGTGGCAGAGCACGGATTTATACACAGCAGTCTCACTCAGCAGTTTTCACTCTTACTATTCCGGCCACTTGGTAGAAAAAGAAAGATTTCATTTTATGTGAAGAATTATTTATTGTAATTTAAAAAAAGAGGGCATATGCTCTTTAGTAATGAAATTTACCAGTAACAATCAATCAGAACATTTTGGTTTCTTAGTATTTAGGGAAAATTTTTGTTTAAATCTCTTATAGAATTTTAGATATTTTGCTTTAAAAAAGTAGATGCAATATATTTCAAGTTTTATACATTTTAGATGAATTGCATGGTATTTTAGGCAACTTAACTATAAACAAATTCATAAAAACAAGCATTATTGCCAACAAATTAGATGACCTAGATGAAATGGGCAAGTTCCTGGAAACACACCAATTGCCAAAACTGGCTCAAAAGGAAATAAAAAATCCAAACAGACCTATAACAGGTAAAAAGATTGAACCAGTAATCAAAAATCTCCCAGCAAGAAAAGTCTGGCACTAAATGGGTTTACTGGCAAACTATACCAAACATATAGAGAAGAATGAACACTAATCCTTCTTGAACTCTCCCCAAAACTGGAAGAGAAAGGAGCACTTTGTAACCCATTCTATAAGGCCAGCATTACCTTAACACCAAAGCCAGACAAAGAGCTCACAAGGAAACTATAGACCAGTATCCCTTATGAATACAGATGCGAAAAACTTCAAAATACTAGCAGGCCAAATCCAACAGCTTATTAAAATGATCATACACCATGACCAAGTGAGATATATCGAAGAAATACAGGGATGGTTCTACATACAAACATCAATTGATGTAATAGAGTGTATTAGTAGAATGCAGGGGAAAAAACAGGATCATCTCAATTGATAAGAAAAAGCATGTGACAAAATCCAACACCCTTTCATGGTGAAAACACGCCACAAACTAGGAAGAAAAGGAAGCTTCTTAACCAGATAAAGGCATTCATAAAAACCCATAGCTAACAACATAATAGCAAAACATTGAAAGCTTTTCCCCTAATATCATGAAAATGCCTGTTTTCCCCACTGCTATTCAACATTGTACTATTAAGTCCTAGCCACAGCAATTATGCAAGAAAAAGAAATAAAATGAATCACAAACAGGAAGAAGTAAAACTACATTTGCAGAAAATGTGGTCCTATATGTTAAAAATCCTCAAGAATCCACGGAATGACTACAGCTGATTTAAAAAATGTGGCAATGTTGCAGGATGAAAGATCAACACACAAAGTCTAAGAAAAATTTGAGAGGAAATTAAAATAATTTCATTTATAATAACATGAAAAAATAAAATAGGAATAAATTGGACCATGAAAGTGCAAGACTTGGGCACTGAAAAGTATAAAACGTTGCTGAAAAAAATTAAGATCTAAATAAATGGAAGACTCAACATTATAAGATGGCATGACTCCCAAAGTTAGTCTATAGATTCAATACAATTCCCATTCAAATTCCAGTGACCCTTTTATAGAAACTGAAAAGCCGACCCTAAAATTTATATGAGATTGCAAGTTACTGAAGGTACTCAAGCCTATTCAAAACAATCTTGAACAAGAATAAAGGTGAAGGACTCACATTTTCCAATTTCAAAATTTACTGCAAAGCTACTTCAATCAAAACAGTGTTGTGCTGGTATGAAATACATAAACCAATAGAAATAGAAAGTCCAGAAATAAATTATGTCAATACACTACAGTCAACTGATTTTTGGCAAGGGTTCCAAGACCACTCAGTGAAGAAAGAATACTGTCTTCAACTAATAGTGCTAAAACAAGTGAATATTCATATGCAAAAGAATGAGGACCCCTCGCACCATGTATAAAAATTAGTTCAAAACAGATCAAAGACCTAAAAAGAGCTAAAACCATAAGACTCTGAGAAGAAAATATAGGCATAAATCTTCAAGACCTTGGATTTGGCAATGGTTTCTTAGATACTAAAAGCACAAGCAACACCAGCCAAAAAAAAAGAAAAAAGACAAATTGGACTTCATAAAAATTAAAAGCTTCTGCATATCAAGGGATACTATAAAGAAAGTGAAAAGACAACCCACAGAATGGGAGAAAATATCTATAAATCTTATATATCTGGTAAGGAACTAATATCTGGAATATATAAGGAACACCTATGCTCAACAACAAAAACACAACCCAATTTTAAAATGGGCAAAGAACTTAAATAACTATTTCTCTAATGAAGATATACAAATGGCCAACAAGCACATGGAAAGATGCTCAATGCCATCAGTCATTATGCAAATCAATGCCACAAGAAGATACCACTTCACACCCATTAGAATGACTATAATTTTAAAGAAAGAAAATAGACCTAGGATCTAAACCTGTAGAAAAAAAAATAGTGAAAAGAAAATAAATGTTAGAGAAGATGTGGAGAAATTGAAAATCTTCATTCATTGTTGATGGGAATGTTAAATGTTGTGGCTACTGTGGAAAACGGTTTGGCAGTTCCTCAATAAGTTAAACACAGAATTACCATATGATCCAGCAAGTCCACTCCTGGGCATATACTGAAAAGATCTGAAAACAGGTGTTCAAGCAAAAACTTTCACACAAATGTTCATCACAGGTCTAGACACAATACCCAAAAAAGTGGAAACAACCCAAATGGCCATCAGCTGATGAATGAATAAACACACTGTGGTATCTATACACCATACAATAGAATATTCAGCCATAAAGAGAAATGAGGTACTGATACATGCTAAAACATGGATGGCCTTGAGCACATTTTGCCAAGTAAAAGAAGGCAGATACAAAAGGCAATGTATTGCATGAGTACATTTATATGAAATAGTCAAAATAGGCAAATCCGTGGAGACAGAAAGCAGATAAATGGTTGTAAGAGGTTGAGAGAAAGGAGGAGTAGGATGTGACTGCTAATGAGTAAGGAGTTTCCTTTTAGGGTGATGGAAACGTTATGGAACTACTTACTGGGGATAACTGCACAATATGGTGAAGGTACTCAATGTCACTAATGGTAAATTTTACATACACTTTGCTGTAGTTTTTTTTTGCCATAATTTTTAAAAAAGATTTATTACCTACATTATGTTATGATACTTAAATGTCCTAACAATAGCATTCTGTACCCATCACTAGGATCAAAACTCTGGATTTATATGCATTTGGAAGAGAATTTTTTCAGTGTAATTTGCAAATAAATGAATTTCTAAAAATCTGACAGAAAGGCTCTTAAATCTCCATTTTAACCTAAGAAGGGAGTGAGAAACAATGACAGCCATGGGGAAAGTTAACGGGGAACTTCTCCAACGCCTGGTACATGACAGGCATTCCATAAATGTTTTCTAAAAGTTGAAGTAGATATCTTTTGATAAACTGTGATATTTGGAATTGTTGATAACTCTTACTGAAAGGCAAATATTCAATAAAATGATACTTAATTTTACTGTGACTAGATAATAAATTCTCATGTAATAATTTTATTTTTTAACTGGAGTAAAAATCAAATGCCATAAAAAAATTATAGGCCTCCTTTGGCATTTTCATCTTTCTGACTCTTAAAGAACTTACAAGAATGCACCAACTCTTCCATCAAAGCCTCTGTCCTCATTCCTAAGGCATAGGAGAGTACCGTATCTTCTCTTGGGGCTGAACATCTCGCGAGCCTCTTGAAGAAATGCCGTATTGACTGGTGTGAGTTTTGGCATTACCGCTAGACTTCACTGCCACCCTCATTTTCCCCTAGCCCTGGGTAATTATTTGGGCTAACGAGGTACCAATCTAGAGAGCAAAACTAGGGAAGCTTGGGAAGCAAATATAGTGCCCTGGATCTTTGCCTAGGCTCAAGCTGGTTCCATTTGACCATATTTCTTTGTGGATAATAAACAACCATATTTAATTGAGGTATTTTCACATAGGTTTGAGGACAGCAAAGATTGCCTGGTGGCCAGCAAGAGGACCATCCGGAGCCAAAACTCCTTACCTATGGAATTCAATAGTCATTAGACGGCCCTATTATCTAAAGCTGGCATATGGTACCAGCCTCTTTACCAAGAATGTATTTAATATAAGTAACTAGAATATCTACACATCACCGGAATGAATATGTGTCAAAAGTTACTGAGTTACTATGCAACCCTTGCTGACATCAAGGCACCAAAATGTTGAAAATGTAATCATTTACCATGACCTACGTATTTAATGTGATCAAAATTACCCTTAAGGTCCTGCTTTAAGGTCCGTAAATACCGTTATTAGTCCATTTTCACACTGCTATAAAGAACTCACACCTACAATCCCAGCACTTTGGAAGGCTGAAGCAGGGGATCACTTGAGCTCAGGAGTTCGAGATCAGCCTGGGCAACATCTTGAGACCCCTGTCTCTACTAAAAGTACAAAACTTAGCCAGGAATAATCCCAGCTACTTGGGAGGCTGAAGTGGGAGCATCACTTCAGCCCAGGAGACAGAGGTTGCGGTGAGCTGACATTGCATCACTGCACCCCAGCCTCAGTGCCAGAGACCCTGTGTCAAAAAAAAAAAAACAATAGTTCAACTTAAATGAGTAATGATTTTCAGGGAAAAGTTCGCCTTTGGGGAAAAAGGAAAAAAAAACTTTTTGTTTTTATTTGTTTTTAAAATGTAGAGTAAATTTTGGGGTTTGTTTGGTTGGTTGGTTGATTTTGTTTTGAGACGGTCTTGCTGTGTCACCCAAGCTAGAGTCTAATGGCCTGATCATAGCTCACTGCATCCTCAACTATCTGGGCTTACGCAGTCACCTCAGCCTCAGCCTCAGCCTTAGCCTGTCAGT